TTACAAAACAATTGATAGAAACACCCACTTTCTTCCCAATTACCAAATTAGAACAAAGCGCCCGAATTTAGAAAAAAATAAAACCCGATAACCGGGGCTCTAAGTATGGAGTATTCCAATGTTTACAATAATCCCCATCCCAGTGCGGGATCTCCACAGCCCTGCGGTGGCATCGATGAAAAGAAAGTAGACTAGAGGTAGCTCAACACCGAGATGGCACTCAGGGCGTTCGAGCTTGCACCTTCGCTTTGAGAAATCGTGCTCTAACAAACAAGCTCGCTTTAGTCATTAGGAACAGTCAGCCCTGCTGCCGTGCGTTTCATTTCTTTCCGCTTTTTCAACGGAATTTCCCAGTCACAATGTTTCGTTCGTCCGTCCCTGCAGTTATCGCTAAACTTAGCAGGGTGATTCACGTCACATGATATGACGTCACATGCTCTATTCACTAACTCAGTCCCCACGCTAAACTTAGCGGGAAAATTGACGTCACCTGACCAGACGTCACGGGATCGGTACACCTTTGCAGTTGCTTTTCTTTTTGCTCTAGTGTCCACCCCAGCTGGTTCACTTTGACTAGACTATATTGACTGAGAAATCAAAATAATTTTCACGTCCGTTTTGTCTGTTACTGTTCATGCACTTAAAAAAAAATCGTAGCATCACAAAAAGTTGAAAGTCGATATTTACATTTTTGGTGAGTCACAGAATAGCAGAGTTTGGAAAGCACTGACCAAATGTACAATTTTCTTCTCTTTTTTTAACCATAAATAATTGTTTGTACTAACTTTTTATTTTTATTTTTTGTAGGACGGAGGAAAATTTTGACGTGCGTAACTGATTAAGGGTTCTAAGTCTTGGTGGATACTCGGCTGTGAAAATTTGTGGGAAAGTTTCCTTACCTGATCGAAACGTCTCTGCAGTTTGGAGAAAGACAGTTCAGTAAAGGCGACACAGTGTAGAGGACCGCGCGGTTCGTGGGTCCCCGAACATCGAGTCTGAGCAACCAGCAGAATATTCACAAAGCGGAGCAGCCCAACTTCTCCGTCATTGTCTGTCACCGGCAGCCCTACTCACCCAAGAAACGACAACGGCGCAGCAACGTCGGACCAATGTCATAGAGGCATCGATGACCACCGTGATTCGATGTGGTGATAGCGGACAGCTTTCTCTCTCGATTAGACTTGGGCGACAAAAGCGCTGCGTCATCGCCGCAAGAGTCCAACACGCGTGTTCCGTAAACTTCGGCCCGAACTTTGTGTTTGACGAGTCAATAGCGTCCTAACAGCGGTTTCAGGCGACGAGAGCCTCCTATGCGGAGAGAACTTGTCTGCTTCATCTGCCGATTTCGCGATTATGTCAGGACTAATCATGTCGTATTACACCTGAGACTGCGGTGGAAGAAATCGGAAGAACTTTCAGTAGAAGGAACAGACACAGAGAACGTTCCTTCTACTGAAAGTTCTTCCGATTTCTTCCACCGCAGTCTCAGGTGTAATACGACATGATTAGCTACCACCAGCTCGCCTGCACACTCACCGTCTTTTCACTATGTCAGGACGTCGAGCACTTATTCACTGACCAAAAAAAAAAAAAAAATAGTGGGTAGACCTCGAGGTGTTTAGCATTGAGGTCTGCCCACTATATCAGCCAATAAGAGATCGGTGTCGTTCTGACGTCACCGCAACTTCTGCGCGAAAAGCAGACGACATGTTCTCCGCATCAAGCGCAGCGTTCGAAGCACTGTAAGTACAGTGCAGCTACGAAAACTGCGAGGTACCGCTCGACGTAGATTACGCGTTTCGACATGCCATCCCCATGTCTCGAAATGAAATTATCCATGTTCTAGACCATTTCACTAACCATCGTCTGCGCGCTGTCGCCTTTGTCTGCTGGGGCTGAGGAAAAAGTTTCAAGGACGCAGTATAGCTCTCTTCTTACGGAACGCAACAGACGCCGCGCATGCGTGCAGAGCCAAGTGACTCAGCAGTTTTCGCTCGAATCATAAGCGCGCGCTTCTCACTTCCTGGCGATTAATGCTGTCTCATATAGGGGTTTCCGTCGAACCTGAAATCGGACCAGGTTCGCAAAAAAGGTTCGAAGCAAAAACTGCCGCGTCATTGAGAGCTTACCTTAGCACAAGCACCAGTGACACGTCAATCGGGTCCACCCCCCCCTTTTTTTCACTATAAGAGCTAGTGATGACGCAGCACAATATTGATTGACGGTTTCTGGAAGCGCGTTCTTCTGATAGCAGAAATAAATAAATAAAAGAGGAAGACCTGCACGTTATGGCATCATTAGTGGGGGGCCGACTCCGTCCGAGCGAAAAATTGCAGTGGCTTAGCTCGGCTATGCCAGGATATACGGAGTGTGAGCGCCCCGCTATACCCCCACTGATACCTCTGCGCATGCGCACAAAATGAGAGGCGCCATCAAGCGGCTCCAGTGCAGCATCAGACGTACTTGGCTACTGCGCAACGGAGGCGCACAGCTGGGCACTCGCCGGCGCCAGTGCGTCTGCCGCGGCTATGACGTCACTCCTCTGGAATGCGCAGACCAGCGAGGCGCGCGCGCGCGGCGGCGGCGGCGGTGGCGGCTCCGGCGCGCCAGCTGTGCGCCGTGTGACGTCCCTGCTCCTGGCACATGCGCAGCGCAGCTCTCCAAGAGCCACGCGGAACTGCTCAACCTCGACAAGTGTAGCTCACGCTACAAAAAGAAAAGGGTGAAGCACGGGCTTGTATCTCGGCGCCGTCGTAGTGCCAGCGTCTACAACGCAAACGCTACAAGAAAAAAAAAAAAAAGAAGGTTTGCCTTTCTATGAAGTTACTTTTCTCCTTTGTTTTTAGTGTGTGTGTGTGTGAGTTAAGTTACAGTTGCAGACGATATGAGCGGAAAACACCCGAACCAGACTTTTTCTGCGTCGGTAGTTTTGATGCTTCATTTTCTCTCGATTTGTGATATATTTATAAAAACGGGACCAGAGCTTCGGCGTTCCATCTCTATACAGCATGTACACACTAGCACTTCAAACCCACTTTAAACAACCCGCAAAAAAAAAGAAAAGAAAAAGAAGGTGTCTTAACGTATTGCGTTGCGATTTGCTACAGAGCTGCGGCTGGGTGGTGAAAGCTTAGGGTAGAAATATCAACGGGTGAACTTACCTCGTTCGAAAAAGAAAAGAAAAAAGACATCAAGATGAGATGACGTAAACTAAAAGCCTGTTTCGGGAAATCAACGAAAACGGCAGATGATACAATGACCACGCTCGCGTATATAGCAGCAACACTAAAATACAAAATATCCACTCAAACTCAGCCTAAAACGCACGAAAAGTCGTCATCACTTCAACTTCGTAAGAACTACTTTGCCCCGCAAATAAAGTATGACATAACCCTTTTTTGTGTGTGTGTGTGTAACGACAATATTGATGACGTCAGAGAAGGAGCTTACAAGAGGCTGATCATGGCTTAATACGTTTACAGTCTTTGCTTCGTGATTGGCCCTTCGGAGTTCTCATCGGCCAGAGCAGCAATCTGATTGGTTGCGGAGGAGAGGAATAATAAGATGCTCGGGGCTGCTTTGGAATCCCGTCCCCGGGTTTGCTTCAAACGCCCATTTGTGACTTAACACAGTATATCCTATTGGAGGAGTGTTGTGTGACCGTGATCCAGTATACAGATGCATAGGAGAGCCTGTGAGGATGTGCTTGCGAAAAAAAACAACATATAACACTGTTATCGTGTTTTTTTTGTTTTTTTTTGTAGGTGTCGTTTTTATATGACCAAAGAGCGCACCACTTTATTTTTATGCATGTGCCCCTTCATTTTGAATCCCAGGCTAGTCATTATGGCTATGAGTTGAACCATTGATTGTGTGTTGTTATTGAATATAAAAATAAATTATGTTAATTAAGTATGTAACTAATTAATTACCTTTAATGGCAGTTTTGTCTTGGTTTAAACACTTCGGGGGACACTGACAGGGTATTTATGCTCAGGGCTGGGCAGAGATACTCCAAAAAGCATTCGGGAATACAAATATTGAGATAAGTGTGTTTTAAGGCCAAAAATACAGATACTAAGATATGCAACGGGATATCCCTGAGGCAAAGTATCGCGATACAAGCGATACATCTTAAATATATTTCACTCTACTGAGATACAAATATATTTCTCAAATGTATCTCGACACAGACATACAGATACTCGAAAGTATCTTTAAGATACTATCGCGATACTGTCCAGCCTTGTATATGCTCGCCAAGGTTTTTATTTGTAAATGACGTATGAGAGCCCAAATACCTAGAACACAATTTGCGGCTCGAAATTAAGTTTCTTTCGGCCCGAAACCTACCGATCAAGAACTAGCCGTTTTAAGTCGCGCTCACTCTCTTCTCCGTGATCACGTGCCGTTTTCGATGGTTTAGACACAACCACCAAAGATAAGCAAAGTCGTGGGTCATCGAAAGCACACACACTCAATACTAAAAATAGACAAAAAATACGATACCCATTTTTTTTTGTGACCTCTAAAAAACTACAAATACGTTGATTGAAAGAAAGAAAAAAGAACAAATGTCGCATAGTCACGTGATTTCCGGTAACTTTCTCCTTCTCTACATTTCTTCTTCCTCCCCAGTGCAGTTTCAATTTCGGTTTCGAGCAGTAGCGTTCTTTTTTTTTTTTTTTGCTTTATTAAAAATATACGTGACATATTGTAGCAAAATATTAATTGGGTAGTCTCATGACACCATAATAAATGGCCTGGCAAAAAAAAAATTGAGTGGTGTCAGTATTCCTTTAAACATGATGCCAAACTCCAAGACAAGGATGAACCCGTTTTTTTTTTTCCGGTTTTCTAATTTTTTTTTAATTACTTTCCATCCCACTCTTAGGGTTTGGCATCATGTTCGATACAGACCAGCTTGCCTACACTTTGCGGATTTTTGCATTGTATTCGTACTACAAAGAACAAGACGAAAAAAAAAGACACAAAAACACTTGTTTTGACATTTTCTTTTATTTAGAACTGAACAGAAATTCAACGTAGAGCGTACCAAAAAATCACACGAAACACTTTGCAGGTTATCGACTGAGTTAACCCGTAGTTTTGAGAACCGATTCCATCTAAACACTAACCGAGAACCCGGCAATAGGAACAAAATACGCAATATAAGGAGAGCACTCTGCCCACAAAAAAGCTGCTTATTGCGAAATACCTGTTTTGTTATGTTTCTCGTTTCCCCCCAAAACGGCACGCTATATAACTGTCTACAATGCGTAACTATATATGTATCCACAAGCTGCACCCTACAAAGTACAATATTTTTTTTTTGACGGTGTGTAATGTGTATTTGTGTCCGTTTCAACCTGGTACACCAAGTTCAGTTCACAGACCACAACATACTAAATAAAATTAACGAGAAACAACGCCATCTCATCACTGAATCATGCTACTACAAAAAGCCAGTTTTTTTTTTCGCATTTTTTTACTTTTTTTGTATATCTCTATTGCGACACAAGACAGGGGTGCGACCTGCGTGGCACACACTTCTCGTTCAATCCAGCACAAGTATGAAGAAGCACACGTAACAATGTGTATTACGCACGTCCATACACATGCATGAACAAATACGGCAAGTATACTTAGAAGAGCAATACTTTTTTTTTCCTTTATTATAAACGCTTGTAAGCAAAATACTCTGCTGTTATCGTGTGAGTGTATATCTGTGTGTGCTCGTCGTCACTGGGCATACCAACCCCGCTGCGATACACCGATATTTACACGAGTAAATAAACTCTCGGTCACCTGTAGCAAACGTCTTTTTTCCGCCGAGTTAAGCACTTCAAGAGTCGCCTAGATTACATCGATATGTGTGTTCTAGAAGAAACTTTAATTAAAAAGTGTGTTGTCTCATAGGCTTGTGACTGAAGCAATTGTGAACTCAGAAACCGTTTCATTGGAAGGGTGAGGTCAACTTAGAGTGCCCCGTTATCACACTGTAGCCAATGATACTAGAGCTTCTTCCGCGTCAAAACACAATGTGGGTCTATCGAGTGGCGAAGGCCGATAATGCATTTAAGCATGCCCTATAATGCTTAAGCTCGTCGTTGAGAATACGTGAAGGCTACACTCCATTTGTGCTGACAAAACAAGATTAAGTTACTCGGCATGATTCCAAATTGAACCGACCGCAGAACATACAGTAACAAATATTTCAGTTAATAAAACAAACAAAAAATATATTCGATCTCCGATACAGTGGGACAGATATTATATATGTGCACAGAAAAATTTGCGATAGAAAATGACTGACCTTTGATTATCAAACGGACGACTATTGACTTAAAATACTGCTAAAGCAATACATATGGATTTAGTTAAAGAACGACAAGTAACTATTGGGGTTCCAATAGTTACTACTCGTTTCCAATAGTTACTACTCGTTTCCAGTTTCTGGATTTTAGTTCCCTTTATTTCCGCGGCATAAGTGGGGCGCCATTTACCACCTATTTGAAAAGAAAACTGATCTATTCAAAATGTTTACAGGAGCAATATTTTGAGTGGCTACTGTTTGCTGTAGCTGTTGTTGCTTTCTGTAATGCACGAATAACGCCAGAAAAAAAATCATCAAAAGCAACGAACATCAGTGTTAAACCACCCGACTCAAAAACGCGATATCACATAAGGTTGTCTAGCCCCTAAAGAAACCGAAAGAAGACTTGTTAGCCTGTTATCATCAACTTCGCATAAAGCTCAGGAAACAATATTTACAGCTGACATATATTTCTCGGTGTTTTCTTTTCTCCATTTGTGTATTTACAAAAGCGTCACACAGCGTACATTTTCCGGATCTTTTGTAAAGTTCGGTAATCTAATGCTACAACGGTCTTTTCGTTTCTATCTTGTTTGTTTACATCTGCTAACTCCGCTTAAATATTCAGCGAATAAATAAACCGATTAAATAATGCTACAAAAAAAAAACACAACGGTCTTTAAATTTTCAAGATTCTTACGTTAAAAAACGTATCTTTTAAACATTCCATTATGAAAACCTAAATTTCTTCTCCCTGGAAATAGCCTATCTGCGTAAAATAGGCGATCACGAAAAACTACTGTGAAGTCCCCACCTGCAAAAACGACCAGGGCTAATGACATGACAATAAAGAGTTCAGTCTCCGAACGTTCTTACATAATCGACCGAAAGTCTCACCTGTCAAAAAAAAAAAAAGAAAAAAACTCAAATGGAATTGTGAAAGCTAGCTTACCAAGTCATGATTATTATGACCAAATTATTTAACTAAAAGAACGCGGTGCAATTAAAAAACAATATTAATAAAAAGCTAAACAACGCAATCTTGGCGTACATCTTAAGCCTCGCGGTGTTTCTAGCACCAGGTCTAGTAATTTCTGGTTCCAAACGCCTTAAAGCAGAACTGATGCCCCTAGAATGGCATGTAACTAGAGGTACCGACTAGTAAGCACGTCGTACATGGCACTCGGTAGCTGCACGAGTAGCGCCTTTGTACTGCTACCGGGAACCAGTCTGGTGCTTGGTATTGAGATCACCGGATCTGGTATACCAACACCACGCCTGGTTATGCTCGCGGGGATTGAGAAAACAAAACAAAAACAACAAAAACACCGGTGTTTCAACCAAAATGTACTCGTACCCACGCCGATGAAAGTTGAGTGTCATCATCTTCACGTTTCTGGTTGTGTGGAGTTTTGCATCGTTGTCTTTCAAGTTCGGCAGAGATGTGTCAGCGACATTCCAAAGTGAAAACGCTGAACCTGAGATTAAAAAAGAACAATAAACACGAACGAACATTCCCGTCAGACTAGAATAGGCCGTGTAAATGATTATTAGTACCAACATAGAAAGAGATAACTTAAACAGCTGACGTGGACAGACACGTGTCCACGAGTATACACGGCTTGCATTGACGCCAGATCAGCCGTCATTGTGAATACCTTGCTGCTGAGTGCATATCTTCTGCAGAATACATTTCGCACTTCCCCTCGGAAAGAACAAGTTGGAATGGCCCCAATCATGGCGCAATGACGTCAGTGTAAGCGATACCTACCACACAAATCGGTGTGCTTGAGAAGCCCATAGTTATTTACAGGATCAGAACGGCAGGAGGGTCTTTCAGCCGTCTCGCCTGCAGCGAGTGCTTTCTACCTTCGATACGACTGTGGCGTCTCATCAGCTTCGAGCGTGCACGCGCAGCCAATGGTCGTCGGCTCGTCGTCGGCTCGTCGGCCCATCCGAAAGAAACGCCCTACCGTTCTCACCCCGTCAGAGACTATGATAAGATATTCTGACTGGTCGCTTCCATGTCCCTGCTTGTGCTGATATGCACGTGCCATAACAAGCTTTCCAGTGTTGCCATCGCGCGTGTGCGTGCTCGTGCTTGCCTACAAGGGACACCGACCAGGACCACGAGCACGCACAAAGAGGAATCTTCTTTCGGATCAAACGGTTCGTGCTCAGACGTCGGCTCAGAGCAAGGGGGCTGACAAAGTGAACCCTCACCCAAAAGTCAAGGCGTCGTGCTCAAACGGCCGCTTCACTCCCTGAGCTTGTGCCACTCGGCGATCTGGCGCCTGGGCGAGTTGCAGACCTCGAGCCAGTGCTGCTGCGCCGCCGGGGAGCCCCTGGGCCCCAGCTCGAGACGCCCGACAACTTCGTTCTTGGTGACGCGGTCCCAGTCGAGCACCAGGAACTCCAGGCTGAGGTTGTCCAGACCCTCGTTGTACGGGACTTCGAACACGAAGGACTCGTTGAAGACCGGGTTCACGGTGCGCTTTTTGATGTGCGTCTTCTTCTTGGCGATGCGCTGCTGGTTGTAAAGCAGGTAGATCTTCACGTACGGGTCTGCGGAAAAGAGGTGAAAAATAACAATTGAATTGGATTGGATTAGATTGTATTGGGACCCTCCATTTGTATCGCGTGAACAGAATGTATGCTCTGCTCCAGCTACAGTGAACTAGAATCTATAATCTACAGTTAACTATAATTATATATACTTCACTATATCTCCGTTAAAAAGTAACATCTTCACTATACTCCCTGCTCTGACGTCTCGTTAGGCGATGTCTGCCGCGATTCAGAATCGTATATGGGAAGAGTTTGGTGACTAGGAGAGGCAGGGCCGTGGCCCCAACACCGGCGGCGCCGACCAGAGGCGCCAACGCCACCACAGCCACATATCTCTCTGGCGGTTATTCAGGGAATAAAATGTAAACCTAACATTTGTTTATTCCTTAGTTCGCTTAGAACCACCACAATTTTCTTTCTCTCTTCCCTTCCCTTTTTTCTCTCGCTTGGCAAGCCATATTTCATATTTTTGTTTGTATCAATGTTGAGTGTGACCATTGCTACCGCACAGATCCGGCGTAACTCTAAATACTTTCCCATCTAGAGTGTCGTTTGGGTATCCCTTTTTTTCTCTCACTTGGCAAGCCATGTTTTTAATTTTTTTTAGAAAAACAACGTATTTTATATTTTTTTATGTATCCATGTTGAGTGTGACCATTGCTACCGCACAGATGCGGCTTAACTCTGCATACTTTCCCGTCTAGAGTGTCTTTGGGGTATTGGGCAGCATAATGACAGAGCCCGACTCAACTTACCTGACAATCCCGTGATGTCGACCTTTGGTAGGTTTCTCGCCTTCAGCACGACCACGGTGAGCCTATTGGCAGCTGGCTGGTGGCACAAGGACACCAGGAGCTCGCCACGGCCTTGAGACCGGATCTGCCGCAGCAATCGCAAAGGTGGCCCCCTTTTACTGAGCAATTCCGCCAAATACCCTCGAAGTTTAAGAAAAGCAGAGCAATCTCCTCCCGCAAAGCCCTCCACACTTTCCACTTAGCGAACGCTAGAAAAGACATAGACGTCTTTCTGCCGTTTCCTGTCGCTCTTAAACACTTCGTTTGAGCACAAGATGTTGCGAAAATGTGCGGTTGCCATTAGAAGCGACTTCTAACGAAGGTTACCAAAATTCTATAGAATTTTGGTAACCTTCGTTACCAAAAAAACACACACACACAAAAAAAAAACTTGTTTGCAAAGACGGACTCTTATGTAAACGCGCGGCACTGTTTTGCGCTCGTTCTTCTCACCTTGAAGTGTCTCGGCGCAATCTCGCGGGAGAGTGCGAGCGTCTTGTCCAGATGCTCGGTGTCCAGGCCGGCCATGGAGCAGACCACCTCGCCGATGACGTCGTCCCTCGAGTACCTGTCGAAGCTGAGCACGACGAAGTGGAGCGTCGTGGCCTGCAGCTGGTTCGGGTTGATGCCATAGAAGGTGAAGTCCTCGTCGTACACCGGGCTCAGGGTGCGCCGCAAGACCCTTGTCTTCACCTGCGCGTCGAGCACGCGCGTGCAACATGTCAAGCGTCATAAAAAATTAAAAAAAAAACAGTATGTAAACATTGTTTGAGGCCTGTTTCATCTTTGTACGAAGGTCCAATCACACTGACAGATAGTTTTGTCATACTGTCTGCATCGAAAAGCGTGCCCTTTGAATGACGAATGGGTGGCGTGAAAGTCACCCCATATTTATAATAAGTTGATGTCATTCGTCGTACGTTGAAAGACATGAATTAGAGACGTCTTATTCACCGTTCAAGCACTTATCACCCAGACAAAACGTATATACCGAGTCACTTAAGTGACTCGCGCGTTTCGTCTGGTGTGGTTCTGGACGCAAGCGCAGCGCCTGACATTCAGCAGAAGAAAGCTATACCATAGCTTCCTATATACTGACAAAACCTGGCAGGTCGCCAGGAGAAGCGGCCGCCGAAATGGAAAATGTGAAGCGGCACACCGCGGATGAGAAGAGAGCCACGTGACTGGCGCCCCGCTGCGGCGAGACGCCGAAACACACTTCTCCCGAGCGAACAAGCTGCAAAAGCTGTGCGCTGACGTCCTGGTTCTCCGAGAAATGGCTCTTTGATGCTCTGTGCTACCAGATCCTCGCTCTCCATACCTGCGACCGGGCACTGTATGGCTCCGTCGTCGAACTGCCAGGCTTTGTGCGTATAGAGGAGGCTATGGCTATACATTCTAAAGGATTGTCTGCGGGTTGCCTTTCTAGTAGAACACGGAGGATAGCCAATCACGGCGAACAATAAAGTAATCCCGTCGAGCGACGATGCTCAAAATACGATGAAGGCCGGTTCTGCGTTTAACATGCGCTGCGTCCGCTTGCAACAAGACGTGAGTGCGAGTTGCCACAGCGAACCTCGCAACAACCAAATGGAGGTAGGGGGGGGGGGGGGGGGGGGGGGGGGGGGGGGGCGACGCATTGCACGACATAGTGCAACGCGGAACAGTCGACGCAAAGGTGTGAACGAGCCTTTATATCTCAAAAAGGCGATACGCACAGGGGCAATTCGCAAGTAAAACGTCAAACGCGCGTTGCATTTTTCTTTTTCTGTCTAATCGTATAACGAGTTCCGTCATTCGCTGGAAGACCATATAGTGCTGTCCGCAGTGATTGGCTACCTCTGTGTTCTGCAGGGAAGTTAACTTATACATTTTCGCAGCGCTTACTGCGCTTGCTCAAAACGCGTTTCACAGCCCAGTAGACAAATAGCGCACACGGCGATTAATGGAACGGTCTATACGGCGTTTTCGTTTACTCTCGTCCCCGGCCACCCAGTAGGCATATCCGGTATGGGCGGCGAAAAAATAATAAAACGTTTATTCTTGCAAATAATAAAATATAGAGGTGAGGCGAAACAAAAAGGGGGTGACTGTCACGCCTATATCCTAAATGTATTCTATCGACATGTTTTCGCCCATACTGGAAGTGACGACGTTCAAGATGGCGGCGCCCTTGTAGAAGTTGTCTATATCTTACTATGGTTCTTGCCGGCGGAACAGCGCTGCAGTCCGCACCGCTCCGACTGCGGGGCTGCCGCATTGTGAAAACTATACGCCAGCCTCAACTACGTTGTACAAAAAGTTGACGCCGAGTAGACACCGTTTCAATGTTTAACATTATCACACAGCCCAGCGCGCGAAATTAACAGACGAGCAGGCGCATGCATGTTCGGCGCTTCGGAAGGCAGACCGAATTCGACGCTGTATAAACACAAACTTTTTTTTTTTTTTTTTGAAGGTGAGTTTTGCTTATTTTCCAACCGTTATGTTCGCTGCTTGTCGTAACATGATCCTAGGCGTCACTCACTGAAGAAGACGCTCCATTGTGCGTCGAGGAACTGTCAGAAACTATTTATAAAACATACAGGTGCGTTCGCTGGCCACAAAAGCACATAAACCAATAGAATAAAATGACTGTTAATACTCCGTACAAAACGCAGCCTGCAGACACCGTCTTAAGCCGTGTTCCTTCCTTGGTCCTGCCACATCAGTAATACAAAAACTGTCGGCGGACATGTTGGGAACATGTACGTAAGGTCGAAACAAACATGGCTTCCAATATGCTTTGAGGCATAAACGCAGACGATTCCCTCATCGTGTCCCCAGCGAACACCGTGTCTTTTGTAGCCGCGGACACACTGCGTAAAAAAGGCAAAAAGGGTGCTGCTGTACCACTCTCGTGTGAGCCCCGGGGTGCTGCTGTAACACCCTTAGCGTGTTAGCCCCGGGGTTCTTCTGTAACACCCTTAGCGTGTTAGTCCCGGGGTGCTACTGTAACACCCTTATGATGTTAGCCCCGGGACAATTTAATTTACACCCTCAATGGTCTAAAAAAAGATTCTCGTGTGTGGTGTGCTGCACCGATTGCTTCTCTGTGCTTTTAACTGATTGCTTTTCTGTGCTTTCCGCGCGAGCGCTCTTTCCTAGCAAAGTCCATCCAAAAAGCCGCAATCTCGTGCTGTATGGAGTATACACCTTTCCCACAAGCGCGCAGCCATCTTGAATGTCGTCACATCTGGTATGCGTTAAAACGTAATTTTAATTTACCTATATCGCTGTAAGGTGTTCAAGAAAAATGCGTGATTGTAACAAATTCTTGTTTCGCCTCACTTCTATATTTTTTTGCATATTCCAAGTTGAAATGTCTTTTTTATCTTTTTTTCGTCCCGCATACCAGGTACGGAACCCACGTGATTGAGAACGAAAGAAAACGGAAAACGCCTGTAGTTGCACGCGGGCTCTACCTTGTGCTGCTTCTCGGGGAGGAGCTGCAGCTTGACGTAAGGGTCCGAAGAGCCCGTGTTTGGGTCGCGGGCGGGCAGATCCGCGCAGCGGACGATGGTCACCAGCAGGGCGTGCTTCTCCGAGTTGTACCTGAGCCGGAAGTGAAGCTGGCCCAGCTGCGTTGGCTTCTCTTCCGTTACCTGGCGAAGCCAAAGCCCAAGTCAACCTTTGCCTCGTCATCTGGTGGCAGACCGGCCAGAGCCTCGTGTGCGAGCGTGCTTCAATTCGGTTCACCTAAGGAGACCACTAGAAGCCATTTAGAACGTACAGAAATTGGGGGGAAATATCCACAGCCCCGGTATAAATTGATGTTCGGAGCAAACATATATACGTCTTTCCTGTGATTCGGCGACTTTTGGCGTATGCGTAAAATTACAGCAAACAATTAAAATAAAACAACACAGTAACATGGCCAACTTTCTTGTACATTCCATGGAATACAAATTTTTCAAGTATCAATCTATTCGATTTGTGTTCTAAATATCAAGGTAATTATACAGTCCTGGGGAACATTACCATCTTTTGTCAAGAAAAGTAGAAATTAAAAATTGTCTGTATGTGGAGGCCCATACAATTCAATGAAAAAAAAAAAAGAAAAAAAACTTTGTAGATTCGTGAATTAATTACTGCTTATTGATATCCAATGATTTTCATTTAAACTATTACCGGGAAACATAGATATGTTTGTTGTTGTCCAGTTGAAATGCTCATTTTAGTGCATGCGCCGAGGTTGCGTTGATGTCCCAGAAAGTTGGGCATGAGGTGAAAGACAGCTTGAGTCCCGAGAAGTTGCAGAAACGTTTGAAGTCGAGAAATGCCTCTCAGCTTGGTGACCACGAGTTGAATAAAATAAAACTCGAATAAATCGCAGAAAATACGCGGAGATAAAATGTCGGTGAACGAGGAACAAGAGCAACACGTCAACGCCGATGAAGAGAGCTGTAGATTCTCACGTTCGTTACGCCATGCCGATGCATTAGGGAGTTGTAGTAGACCGTTTCCGCAGCGCGCTAAGCACCCGGATAGCGCTCCGTAATCCGCCACAAGACCTTGAACTACGCAGACAATACTGGGGGCGCGCATGCGCAGCTGCTGCGTTTTCTTCACGGATACCGTAGCGGACGAGAAAAACGATCTACTACAACTCCCTAATGTGGCGCCGACGTTATCACTTTCGCTGGACGTCAGCGCCTGCGCAGTGTCCACAGCTATTGTAGGTTTACGCGTTATGACACGTCCTTACGAACTCGTTGACTAGAGTTTCTATTTTTCTTTTTTTTTTTTTTTTTTGAGTGCAGATTATTTTGGACTGATAAAGTTGACATATTTCCACCACAACAGACCGCTTTAACATGATTATAGTAATGAAACGCTAAGGCCCGGTGACCTTCGTTTTAAGTCATTTCCACGAACAAGAGTGTATTTTTCCAATATCTCGAACTGAATGCACTCAAACAACGTGAATTTCTATTAAAAAAAAAAAAAAAGACGCGTCAACGCTAAAAGCGTTGACGCGTCTGTAAAGACGAACCGTTATAATCCGGCTCCTAAGAGTTTGGGAACGACCGAATGCTGTCGAGAAACGTAATTTCCGTCTGCTAAAAACAAAATGCACGCGAAAAAAAAAAACAAAAAACGTCGACACGTTTGTTTGTAAAAAAGAAATCCGTTATAACTTTTATAAGGCAGTACGGAACTGGCTGCGAGCTATAAAGCGTTTGAAAACGACTAAATAAAATAAAAAAAGCGCCACTTCTGTCCATTAAAAGCAGCGTGCAGGCGCAAAAACGTCGACGCGTCACTTTGTGGAGGCAAGCCGTTATAAGGCGCCTTTGAGCTAGAGCGCGTCGGGAAATGGCTGTACACGGTCCAGAAACGTTATGTTCGTCCGCCGGACACAACGTGTCCGCAAAAAGAAGCGTCGTGCCTGACGGCAGTGAGCACCTCTTTCTCCTTGATCTCAACGATTTCCTCGCTGGTGGGGCTGATGCCGGCCTCCTTCTCCTTGTCGTTGTCTGCGTGCTGCTGCTTGGAGCCCCCGGTCACCGAGCGGCCCTCTCTGGCCGACGAGTCGCTGATGGACCGACCCACCTCCGTCGGCGGGGTCAGGCCTCCTGCGCCGTCCAACAAAATTGCATACCGTCATTGGGCATGAATAGAGCCACTAAATAAGCTGCGCTTAGAGTATCGGCACTCCGTTCCCCGACATTGTTGTGGGCGCCGCCATTTTGGCTCGTATGCAGAACAGACGCAACTGCCCATCGTCATGATTCGAAAGTGCGACTTCCTCAGCATTAGATTCGGTGTTAGGAAGGTCATGTAATATTGCTTTGTTCTGCCGCGAACTGTCTAAACATTTGTGGAGGACAGAAAAGCGTTTCCTGTGATTTCAGATAATGCTTCAGATAACTGGCAACCATGATTTTAAGACACAATATGGCCAAGTGTCGTTACTCTGAAGCGTAGCTTATTTAGTGGCACTAGGCATGAAGAAGTGAGCCCTCTGAACATGGACAGTTCTGTACTGGAAGAAATCGTGATGTCACTTGACGAAAAGTATGTAACGAAACTGCTTTCCCTCTTTTGTGGAAAACACTACGTAGGGCAGACTGGATGGTGTCTCAGTGGCCGGCTTAGAAAACACAACAACATTATCAAAGCCGATTCCGGACACTTAGGGATTCATTGCAGGGATTGCGGTTGTACGGAACATCTAATCAACCGCACCGTACTAGGCAGGAATAGTAATCAGATTACTAGGGAGATTATCGAAGTTGAAAGGTTAGGGCGTCTAAACGACTAGTTTGTTAGCACCCCGTCTCCAATTTTGTCAAAGAAGGAGATATATTACTTAGCCACAAGTTCAAACAGACAACATCAAAAGTTTAAATTTGATTTTACGCGGCGAAAAGAAAAAAGTAGTAGACAACGAAATTTGAAAACAATAAAGAGTTTTATTCAGCGCTGCGTGAGTCAGAGTGACCCCATTTACGTTTGCCCCCGCAAATTGTGTGTCGGCTATTGTACGCTGTAACATCGAAGGTACAACAAAATCCACTGTCAGAAAGTTCTGAATCTTAAAAGACTAGAACGCTTTACAACGGAAACCAGACATGTGTCCGTCCGTGCGTCTGCGCACACTTTAAGTCACGTGACGTCACGACTTGAAACCATTACATTTAATAGGGAGTTTTCGTAGACCGTTTTCCACTCTCCGCTAGGCCCTCCGAAAGGAAGACGCCCCTACTGCGCGTGCGCGCCGCCAGACTTGCCTGCAGATTTCCGGATCCGCTAGGGGGTTCCGGTATTTAATAGAGAAGAGTTATATATATATGAAGTGAAACGAGCACATACGGTGGATACGCTCACTGAGGTCACCCATATTGTGTGCCCCTGCTCGGTGCGTGACGTCACACGACAGGTCATACCTTGACTCGACGGAGATTTCTGGCCTAGCGGGGACTTGGTGCCCGTCGGACTCGGCGACTTCTTGAGGATGGGTCCCGCGGGGCCACTGCTCGGGGACCGGACCGCGGGCGACTTCTTGAGCGGGAGGTTCTTGTCGACGCCCTGGCCCCGGCGTTGGGAGCCCTGTAGCTTGACGGCGCTGCGACGCCGGTAGCAGACACACGACACGGCCGCCAGGGTGACCACCAGGAACACGCTTCCGACGCAGATGCCCACGAAGGCCGGGCTGGTCGCTAAATTGAGGACGAGGTCGCGGTTATAGGCCTAGCTGTCGTTCACACGCGGTTCTGACGTCACGCCAGCGTCGGTGGTGGTGCTGCTGTCGGTATAGACGCTTTACAGCAACTGTGCATGCATGGCGCCGCCATAACTGACCTTTAGTTTTTGCTTCCTCTTATTCCGTTCGCTTCCCTTCATCATTACCACAGCAGGACAAGTTATTGCCATTTTAGATGCTACTGTGTTCTTGTGCCCAGCAAAGGCCCTTGTGAAGACTCGTCAACGCCCGCTTCAGTGGCTCGGCATCTCGGTAAGACAAGAGAAGGGCGGCTATGGCGGCTCAATCTGGCGCGTGTGTAAAGCGTCTATATATACGCGTTTCGGAGCCATGCGCATGCAGCTCTCTGCCAAGAATTGTCCAACGTTGCGCGTGCGTCCAAGGCGCAATGACTCGGCATCTGTCGACCCGGTGACAAACGCTTTAGAAAGGTGTATACACCTTGACGGCGCTTGTCATCCAAAGCGGAACATTTCCGAGGAACTAAAATGTGGACGCAAGCGCTGTGTCTGGTATTCTACAGAAGAGCCACTGCGGCTCGCAGATGGTGATTATTGGAATGGTCTATAGATCGCACCAAAGAGAACAGTACGAGCTTATTTCGTTCGCACGAATGAACCGATTTCACCAGGTGTACGGCGCGTGCGTGACGCCGCCATAACTTTGCTCATAGCCTCCTATATAGTGACAAACCCTGGCAGATCGCCACGAGAAGCGGCCGCCGAAATGGAAAAGGTGGAGCGGCAGACAATGGATGAGAGGAGAGCCACGTGACTGGCGCCCCGCTGCGGCGAGACACCGAAACACACTTCTCCCGAGCGAGCAAGTCTGTTTCGGGTCCTCGCCGCTGCAAAAGCTGTGCGCTGACGTCATGGTTCTCCTATGAAATGGCTCTTTGATGCTCTCTGCTACCAGATCCTCGCGCTCCAAATCTGCGACCGGCCATTTTATAGCTCCGTCGTCGAACTGCCAGGCTTTGTGAGTATAAAGGAGGCTATGCTTTACTCCACGGGAGGCAGGCGGCAGTGCACGAGGCATCTCGTGCCGTCTCGTGCTCCCCATGCGGGAAAGCTCCAGCGAGGTTGTCGCACGTGCTGAAAGACTAAATGAGTTCCCTCGATACATTGCGTCGGCGGTAGAGAAATGAAACTGGCCGATGAGACGTGCAATAGAAGTGCAAGGGTAACAGACCCGGTCAAGCTATCTTTTGATTGATCGGCTCCCGAAGCGAACAAATCGAAGTTCATAGTGTGTTCAGTTAAAAAGAAATATAACCCTCTTTCCTTTCGTCGTAAAAATAGACAACGCTTCGTCGAACGCTCAGTCTCTGCTAAAATGTAGAGCTAGTAATTGGGACCAGATTTCGGAGTTTCATTAAATGCCGTTCCTTGTATCAAAAGTTATAAGCGAATTACAGAAATTTTGATCGAGAAAATGGCGGCCAACAAAGCCCGTCTGCCACAGGAAACGGGTCCCATACTCTAATTGAGAATTATCGGAAATCGCTTTATAGGTTTTGGATCTGATAACTCTGGTCTCAACCGCATAGCACCACATTTGGGTGAGAACAAGGCGTTCAACAACGCGTAGTTTAGTTTTGCGGTGAGAAGAGCACGGTTCTGTTATCTCCCAAACACGCAGAACTTCCCGGTGCCCAGGAGAAAAAAAAAAAATCAACAATCCTGATTAGGGAAGGAAGCTAGAAAACAATGAAAGTTAAAAAAATTGTATTGGCTCTCAATGGTTTTTTGGTGCTGTCATTGTAACCTCAAAAATTGGGAAGGAAAAAAACATAACAAATCTTAAGTTTTATAATGGCTGTTTTAGCCCTGGATATTGAGTCTAGACACAAAACAAAAGTGAGAAGTAAATACCTTCTTAACGGTTTTAGAGAATACAGCTTCTGTAGTTGTCCTAGTAAGTCACGTATTATTATTATTATGCAAACAAATATAATACAATGCTCTATATTAAATGTTATTTGTGTAAATTCTGATTTATTAAAATTTTTGTGGCGATTTTTGTATAGTTTTACTTGTATTAAATCATTAATTTTATATGTTTTAGACAGAACGTTTTCCCCCCTTTGTTCTATTAACAAACAATAAAAAAAATTCACAGTGGCTTGCGCGAAAATGAAACCAGCGGCATTCTTTGTTTTTGCCTGTTGCGAAAGTCACACAGAGCCACTCCGGCCGAAACCGGCACGTGCTACCAAACTGTCCCTATCGATCGACGGCTGGCGCAAATCCGCTGTTGCAATTCAAGGTTACGTCTGAGAACGTCGCGTCAGAATGTTTGTCTTCCTGCGATCGACTCTTCGATCGACTTTCTACAGACATAACGCACCTTCCTTTCTTTCTCAGTGTATCGATTTTACCAATCCAAACAATTATTTAAAAAAGAAACGCCGGCTTTGCGATAATTAGGTAGTGTTGCGGAAGTTATTGCGTCGCAAATATGCGAAAAACAAACATGTTCTGTCATAAACACATTACGTTATTATAATAAAAACATGTAACTCACGAGATTTCTTCTTACTCGCTAATGAGAACCAATTTACCGTGGGTAAGACATGCCTACATATAACAGGAAATTCGTATGAGCCCTTATCGCGATTTTTGTTGTTACGTATAAATGTAACAATTCTGTTCTACGTAAATAAGCAATACCCGTTCTTTGTAAGCAAGACCACTAAAATTTTTATTTTAATTACATGGGTAGTTTTTACAAGCGTACGGTGTTGTTTGTGCCAAGCTCTTAAGAAATCATACTTCAGTGTCCTGCCCTCTCAAGCCACAGCGTTACGGCGTGACGTTTGGTACACAACAATAATGTAATGAACAAGAAAGCCCTAACACTTACTGTATGTTTGCACAGGACCCCAATCATCGTGACCAACTAGCCTGTCCCAACTAATCAAACACCAACAACACCTTCACAAAATGTTCACGGATATTACCAACTTAGCCTAATCTATCCTAATCTAAACTCAACCTCACAAGAGATCGTATCTCGCGGTCAAGACACAAAATTGGAGCGTCTACCCGTTCACTCCGTAATCGAGGTCGCAATCTGAGTCACACATGACTGCCGAAAAAAAAAAAAAAAGTCGTTTAAAGCCAACTTACTTCCGCAATCTACATTTAGTTAATCAAGCGCGCGTCGCTAGAATATTCAGTTTAAGGAAACGAAGATGTTGAACACGAGTTGACTGATGTGTGTGTGGGTGGGTGCCGAAAGCAACACTCACATTAACGATCTACAAAAACATCATGGCTTCCGAGCTGTTATCGAAGGTGTTCCAATCCACTTCGACGTAGCACCTAACTCTAAACATGACTCCTGAAATACTCCAGAAACCTCACAGCCATACGGTCCTGTGCGTTTGAAAGGTCGGCTTCTACCGAGTCGCTTGAGAAGAACGGAAAGGAAGTACTCGAAATGACAGGAGCTTCCAGGTTTACCCATCGTCCATATTGAAAGGATCGCACCAATAGGCGCATATGAGTCAGACTACCGAGCAGCTGAAATCAGGCACCGTAAAATCCAAACTCTGACGTCGCTTGAGTCCGTTATAGAAACGTTACAATCGAGTAGAAAGTCCAGACTTACCTTCTTCGACAGCCTTGATTTGAAGGCTGTCGTCATGGTGGAAGCTGTGCTGTGGTGTCGCACGAAGCTTCATCGCGTCTCTGTTGGGCCCTTCGCGGCACTTGGCCTTTTTAGTCCTAGCCTGCCTACAGACTTAAGCTCAGTTTTCCTCGCTTTTTTTTTTTTTCTGAGCGTAGAGAGCTAGTTACCCCGTAAGCTGTGCCACGAACCTCCCGGCTGAGTAGAAAAAAAATGCCGGAACGGTACCACCTTTCTTACATCCTGGGAAAGAGAACCGTGCTCGTCAGCGCAGATTTCGGAGGAGACAACAACGCAGCGAATGAAAGAAAAAGAAATAAATAACGCGTACACGCCTTATCCACGCAGAATCGTCACGGGTACTCGGTTGATCGCTTGCGAGAGTACGGATCAATATTCTCGCGCGCGTGCGCAGTTGTGGCGTCGCCATGACGACGTGACGCCACTTGGCTGGGGCGTTCTGATTGGTCCGCGACGGCGGCGGCCGAGGGTGCAACGTTGCCAGGCGTTTGCCTCAGTTTGAAACTGAGTTCGATTATCAGAATAGGTTTTGCCTTTGGAGAGGCGTCTTTTATCAGAATATGGTGAAAGGGAATTCTGGTACTGCACGTTTCTGTAACTCTGTGTGGTACGATGCATTCCCATCGTGACACGATGTACATCTTTGATATGTACAAACTTCTGAATGTATTAAGGCGTTAAAAAAAACTTAGGCTTTTTTTTTTTAGACGTATGGTAAAGGAATAGCTTTAGAAGGACGAGTTTAATGGAGACGATAAAAATGACAACTTTCAGTCGTTTGATGCGAGCACAACACGAACGAAATCCTGTCTGCTTTGTAAAGCTAGCTTCCCCGCAGGCACACCGCCTATGCGGAGAAGCATTTCGGACCTTTGCGAGCTGCTGCTTTGTTTAATGTATCGCGGCAAAGTCGAACTGAAAAACACACGATGTTGGCGAAGCTGGATTTGATGTCTCGTTTTCTAAGGGTCATGTGTTCGCCCCAGAAAACGAAACTGGAAGCTTCAGGTAACAAAGAAAAGCACAGCGAGAGGTCAATCTAGCTAGACACTGCGAAAAACAAAATTTACAGGCTTGTACCGGAAATATGAGTCCAGTTAATCAAGATACCCCAGTTTATACACTAAATTCTCGGGAAGGAACTGGGCAAATGCATGTATTTTTCTTTGTTTCGATATTATGGAAGACTCACATTATAGACTATTTGAGGGAGAGGGGAAGGGGGGCTCTATATTCACGAAACGTGACAGTATGTGGTACTTACAAACAAGTGTCTATAATAACGAAACATGCCAGCATACGGTACTTACAAGCAGGTGTATCATATTAGTTATGGGTCTAGGTGATTGTCAGGTAATTAGGCCATACTGGGGTTTAACGAGTAGTGAATTTCTCCGAACTTCTAAGCTATGTTAAATAACTTTTTTTTTTATTTTTATTTTTTTTTTTTTTTATAAGCCCATGTACAAAGCTGTTTTCAGCCATGTCTAAAAATTCTTCCGCATTTCTATTTCTCCTCACCCAAATTCGGAGCCGAGAAACGTTTTTTTTTTTCCAAATCATACCTGCTGCGGTCCCGTCGAAGACCTGAAAGTGATGACTGGCAATTTTTTTTCGAAAACCGCATGATGTCACCGCAGGGAAGAATTTTAAAACTAAAATAATGTGGCGGTTTAGTCGTTTAAAAACTGTTTACGAAGATTGTGCCAGGGACAAAAACAAATTCGTATAAAAACATGTGCGGAAAAAATTCTTTCACAAAATCTGAACCTGAAAAAAAAAAAAAAACGTCACGTGGATATTTACGGTACGGGAATTGCGAATGTGCGTCTAGCGAGATGATATTCTCGATTTTCGTGCAATAAATACTACTTTTTTTTTCGAAAATATTTTTATTTTTGTACGTTCAAGTTTTCGACTGATATTCGCCTTGTTTCTTGCACGTGTGTTCCAGCCTTTAGTGGTGTACAGGACAAACGCCGCGCTGCTAAAGGTGCTTTTTTTATTTGTTTGTTTTTTCATGCAAAGCAAAGATACAGTGTACACATCGCGACACTGTTAGCGCGAACACGACATCGGCGCATTTTCGCATTTTGCTTTTAAATAGTATTAGCGAGCACGAAATTTTATCGCTTACATTATAGAACTAAATAAGCTCTTTCCGTAGCAACAATAACTTGGATGACATCCCTTGGTTTCAAAGAGAAAAACTGGAAAAACCGCCGATCGCTTGTTCGCGCTAACAGTGTCGCGCTCTGTACATCTACTGCACTCTGACTGTATTACAAAACAACAATGTGCGATTCCTAGGGGAGTCTTAAAAGTCATTAAACTAAATTTTCAATTAAGAAAAAAAAAACGCGTTTTTTTTTTTTTTACGTGTTGTTTTAGTTTTCAGTTTTTGCCGCTAGGAGCCGCCGATTTCGCTGGAATCGCATAGCGAGCCTAGGAGGCGTCCGCCATTAAAATGCAAACGTTTCCCGTGGTTTGAGGTGGTTTATCTCAAACCACGGGGATCGTTTGCATTTTTTGATGGCGGACGCCCCCAGCCGTGATCGGTCGCAAATGTGCATGCGCTGCGTTTTCGCGTGGCGAGAAGGAAAGGCGGAAGCGTTTGCAGACGATCGACGCCTTCGCCAAACTCCTCGCAGCTCATATTGCAAATGTGGCCCATAAACCAGGTCACGTCAGATCGAACAGTTCGAAACACCCTGTTAAGACAGGCTCTCACTGTCTGGCGAAGCTAGATTTCACGACGGCGAAAACTTGCAAGAGGCATTCCAGGATCGGCTCCAGGAATCCACCACACCAACCAAGTGCAAGGGACAGCCTTCAAAGTTCACACGGATATTACTCGTACTTATAAAACACTAAAGTAAGAGAGAGAGAGAAAAAAACAAACAAAAAAAAGACGACGTTTAGAATTTTGAGACGTCGTTGTGTTGTCTCCTTCCTTCCTTCCTTCCTCGATCCCCCCCCCCCCCCCCCCCCCTTGCCTCGAGTTTTATTAGTATGACCATTCACCAGCTAGCCTGCGCTATTACCCTTGTTTCAGGGCATAACTCGTACATTTGTTTTGCGCAGTGCGACTTCGTTGCTGTACAGAGGGGCTAGAATCGACGGAGGGAGCAACCATGGAGAGCATTCGCAATTTGGTGGCGGACAACAGCGATAGGAAGCCCAGTTAGCCTTACACAATAGAAGACTGGCACTTCGACTATGGTCTTACTATCCGCTTAATCGCTACCTAAACCGCATTCTTTTCTTTATCAAGTGCCATCATTATTTATGCACCACGCAAGCCCTTCCGTGTTTTTCTTTTTAAAGAAGGAAGGTTTCGTTTCGTTTGAATTTACGGACGATTCGTTTGGCGCGGTAACGTGTGCGACAAATTGTGGTTTCGGGAGTACGCGAGAAAGACGTTCCAAATGCTACGAGTTTAGAATTCCACTAAAAAAAAAAAAAAAAGCAAATTGATTTTTTTTTTAATGAAATATACTTTTAGGTAGAGATAGTAAAAATAACAAGAACGTTTTTGTTGAAAAAAAAAAAAAGATGAAAAAACTCAGATTTCTGCAGTGCTTCTCCTCTCTTCCCCTCTTCACTCTTTCTAACTTCACCAGCAGAGAGAAACGCTCAAACAGAAATTTCTGGTTGTGCCACTGCTGTGGTTAGGTACTGCCACCGCACCAATACCTGCCATCCAGAAAATAAAACTGTGACAAGTGGCACAGATTGACGACTTTTATGGTCGAGAATGTTGTCCATTGTTCAATTCAGAATTTAAAAAAAAATGTATATATATAAAGCAAAAAAAAATATTCGTGTTTCCAGAGAGCGAGATTGAGAGCATAATTTTACTCGATATAGTATTTATTATCATCGCTTGTAATTACGATATTTACAAATGAAAATATACATCCTACTGAGCAATAACATGAAGCTTTCTCTTGTTTTCGATGTTGAAATAAAAAAAGAACGCGGGGAAGAAAAATGAATAACCTAGGACGAAACACCGACCATGTTGGGAGCGAAGCCGACAAAGGTGAAATTTATCTACAAGACTATACAGGAAAAGATAGGATTCGTTCTGTATACGTTGCGTTCGCAAAATACATGTTCCCAAAATTCTTAAAAAAAAAAAAAAGAAGAATCTAAGCAACATATACTGAACACAAAAATCTCTGGCAAAGGCAAGAAAAAAAAAAAATGTGGGTCACCCGAATCCACAAATGATCATTTTTCACCCAGCTTGAGTAAATCAGCACGAGAGAACAGAAGAATGAAGGAATACTACTGGATTTGCACATTGCATGTAGCACACAAACACTGTGCCTACATGTAGCACACAAACATTGTGTGAAGTCAATGCTAAATCAACATCCCTCCTCCCCTCCTCTCACACATACGAATAAGGTGCAAGCGTGCAAACAAGACACCAAATCGTGGAAAATCGACACACTTTGTCCAGCCCACTTATCCAACGGTTCGCCTCACCAATGCCCACTAGTTTTCATTCGTCTCAACTTAACGTGACCCGCAGAGAGGGCTGCCCTCTGCAGGTCACTTCGTCAGACAAGCCTGCACAGCCCATGCTCGTCAATCAAACTGCAACGTCCTGCCCAGTTGAACCAATGATGACGGTGTAGAAAAACTTCCAATTAAAGAAGAGTTGTGTACCACTTTTCCAATCACGCCAAGGAAAGAAAATGAAAGTTTAGTAAATACAGTACGTGAAATCAATTGTGCAGGTGAAGCTAGGCCAGAGCCACGGACAGCATGCAGGGTGTGGCGAGTTCCGTGCACCTAATTATTCGTCTGCGGCCATAAGATTGCGGCATTAGCCGGACAAAAACGACGAAGAACGAATCACAGAGCATTCGGAGACACAATTTGACAGCGAGCACGTCGGATGTTGAATTCGACAGGTCCATCTTGAACGTTGTAAGAAAGCTTTCCCCATTACCTTAAGCTTAATGAATGGTCCATTTTACCTAAACGACTGCTGGCATACACTGCCTAGTTTGGGCTGTTCAAGCAGAACAGACGGTTGCGGAACTAGAAGTCCTTCGTTCAGCTGTCGCAGGGAAACTAGCTGTAACCATTTAGCTGCTGTTAGCTAGTCGAGGCTTTATGTTGGCAACTACACAATTTTCGTCACCAAGGGCACCTTGCAAGCGTTGTGCCTTGCCACGGACGAGTGGAAACGGTACTGACGCAAAACAAAACCACAAATCTTGCTCAGTCAGGCAAACAAACAGCTTGAAGGAAGGTCTATTTAATGCAGTGAGAAAAAAGTGGCTATTAATTTGCATAATTTTCTAGGAAAAGAATAGGGCTTCAGTTTGTGGCTGGCGGTTCCTTCTCCGTAAATAAAACAAGAGACTGCTGCCCTGCCGTCATTATTTCTTTTAATTAAAAACCGATCCAGAAAAATGTACAACACAAATAAACAAACATAAACAGCAAATTTGTAAAAAAAAGCAAAAAAAAAAAAGTCATTCTCACATGCAAACGAAAATGCTAGTTCAAACATACACTCAAAAACAACCACACACACAATCATTCAGCCAAAGCTAGTCGATACCCAGAAAAAAAGAAACACTTGTTTTTTTATGCCACTTAAAACAATAATACAAGCACAAAAAGCCCGAATAAAAGAAAAAGGAAATCTTCGGGTGGCCCCCACACTGCTCGTTCATTTAAAAACTTGCAAATCAAAGACATCCGCCCGGATGTCTTCTGCCGTCCAGGACATCCACCAAAGTGTTGTCCGCCGTCCGAGAAGTTTCGCCGAGCCGTTGACTGCCGTCCAACAGTATGCGATAGGGACACCCCGAGTACAGTCCTCTGGAGTAAAATCGTCCGAAGCCACGACTATTTGGGGGAGGGTTCGCGTTCGGAGCATGGCGGAAAACGGGGGCTAGGAGGGCTGACGTTGGCGTTGTGGTCTGCGGGCTAGAAGCCCTCGTCGCTTTCCATCGACTGGAGGTGCATGTCGTTGAAGTCTGCCACCGAGCTTCCGTGCGAAGAGTCGGGATCCACTGCTCCGGAACCCACGCTGCCGGAGTCGTCCGCAGCTGCAGAGACGAGAAATTAAAACGCACACTTAAAAGGCCTCCGACAAAATATGTTAATCACAATGGCCTAATTTTTTTTTTTTAAACCTGACACATACTTGGGTTCCTGACAACACCAACATCAATATTTTTGTTTATATTGTTACAAGCAATTGGAAATTATGCCTTAGCAGTGTGCCAAAAACTTTTAAGCAAGGTGTAAGGATATCTTAAGAAAAATATAGGAAGTTTCAAATTTCGAAAAGTCGCGTGCAGACGATGACGCATCACTTTTGGTCCTAGTTTCTTGCTTGAGCAGTGTTCCACTTATTCACCTCGAGATCGAACAGAGTCACTGCCGTGTGGCCGATGTTGGAAACACTACAAGTGCGGATACTGTTGCATGTCGTCTGCTCTCAGAACATGTTGAAGCATGGATCCTTGCGAAGATTAAAGCTTATTTTCGGGTAAGCTGCGCTATTTACGTTGTGAATGCTTGTTTCTTTGAAAAGACTGCACCGTTCCACCAGAGTGGAAATACGCGAAGGCGAGGTGGTGCGGTTCTTCGTTTCAGTTTCAGTGCCACTGCGTACTATCATGGAATACATTGGCGACAGAAAGCGCTGCCTTTGTGGCCCCAGCGACCACGTCGACGAGCGTACACGCGCGGAGTTCCGTGCTGCAGTCGTCGGCTCTCAGCAAGGAACCCCACACTGTGGATCTGAAACTCACGAATGGTGCCACGATTGATCAACTTTCGTGCACTTGCCCTGCCGGGTGACAATTTGTTTGAAACTCCAACAGCCTGAAACGTTTATGAGGGAATCGCAAGATTCGTTCTCCCGGTTGTTTTAAACGCTACATACGTAAAACCCTTCATTTTTGTGATCCCAATTATTTGTACCTTAGGCACAGGAGCCTATTTGTGGCCGCTAACCCTCGTGAATTCTAGAGACTTGAATTCAGGCCTCAAAACAAGAAAGATATTTGCATGCCTTTATTTTTTGCTCATTTTGTAATTGTCAAACATTGGGGACTTGCAAAGGGTTCTGCAATAGGTGAGACAGTCAGTTAGGAAAAAAGAATGGCTCAGGCTTCGTACCTGACACCCACGTCCTTTAGCAAGCTGTTAAGGGATACTGAGCCGAAATTTGGGTTCCGCAAGATAAGGCCACAGAAGCGTGGAACGGGTCTCTACGAACTCCAAAACATCACTCAAGCATTGATATCTCAAACGGGTGGCCATACTTTAGGAAAAGAAGTGCGCAATCAAGCGAGGTGTATGAACATCATTGTCCTCATGGAAAATTTGAGAATGAGGAAAAGCCGCCTTGCTTCTCTCCTCCTCGCTTGGGTTCGTCAGCTCGACGGAGCGCAGCAAGGAGGAGAGGAAATGAGAATTGTGACGTGAGTTATCTTGTCGGCCTTGTCGGCAGTGTTCAATCGCGCAATTCTTTTCAGAAAATACGAATATCTGTTAGAGATATCGCTGAACGAGTGATGTTTTTTGGGTTTTTCAGTGTCCCGCCTCTCCGTCCAGCCTTGTTCTGCGAGCTCGAAATTTCGGTTCAGCATCCCATTACCCTTACCTGTAATCATGCCGATTTCATCTAGCGTGATTTGCCGTTGAAAACTAGTTTTTCAAGCGAAGTGGCACAAAACCTTCATGACACGAAGGGTAAGCAAAATTCATGGAGTGTAAACAAGCAACTGATTAGGCTCGATAGTCCATGTTGCTCCTTCGGAAGGTTGACCAGTTGCCATCAGCACTGTATACCACATACTCCCAACCGAACTTCAAGAAAATGGACCAGGTGCATCCGACGCACATGCAGACACTTAGCTAGTCACTTCCGCTGCAGTCGATGCCTCCTTAACTTCGTCACAAGTGTAGGAGGGCTCGTAAGGGTGACAATCCTACAACATTTCAAAAGTTGGATTCTCACGCAATAACAAGTTTGTGGCACTCGTATTCTCTCCAAAAACAATGGACCGAGGGAACCCACACTAAGCACGATCACACTGCCCAGCAGCGAGTACATATCAACGCGCACGCTTTACGCATACTATACTTTGGGCCATTTGTGGCACTTATGTAAAGTTTTATTTTTCCACTTTCTTTGGTTGTCATGCATCGTTGGTTTGAAGTCTTTGTCCATGAAATGTTTAGAGCAAACCATCGCATGAATCAGGTCTGAACTTCGGGAGCCACTCCTTTCCTCAGCGCGCCGGCCGCTGGATATCGGTGAAAACTGACCCCCACATTGATGTAATAGGTATTGCACCAAGGCAATGAACAGTATGGAAGAATTTTCCGTTGAAACTGCTTTCACAATGATACTGTACGAGGCAATAAACGCGATATTCTGCGGGTTTTTGGCGTGACCGCAGGTATCCTATGGGGCAGCCATCTTCCTATCCACACATTAATGGTGATGATAGTAAGACAGTAGCGCCACCTTTAGTTCAATCTCGAGGCGAATACTCCGTTTACACCCAAGTTAACAGTGCAGCGGAAGCTATGTGCTGGTTTGGACCAATCGTATGTCTGCCTTTTGCAACGTGATCACTCCCCCGACCGTGCTCATGCGAGTAAGCAGGGTCGGGTGAAGAAAGGGAGGCGGCTGATTAGTACGAGTGTGTAGCTTCCGCCACACTGTCACGTTAGGGGTGAACGAAGCATGGCGTGCAAGACTTGTGTATGCCACCTTAAAACTCCCTAACAGAGTGTTCCCTAAAGTAGACATATAAATTCAGGAGTTCCCTAGAGTTTACCATCATCGGTTCCCCAAACTCCCCAATTCCCTAGACCAGCTCTGCCCCTGAGCACAGATTTTTATCAGTTTAGGCCCCATTTTACACAGATTCAAGCCATTCATTGATGCATAACAATGAGCCAAACATTCCTTAGTATGTTTATTATTGTTCTGCAAGGTCAGTACACTTCTGTGCTGCCTCATTTCAACAACGCTTAGACTGGGAGGGATTTCTCAGCTGCCGTTCAAGGAAGGATTCCTCGCGATCAAAACGCTCGATTTATCTCGATCCTAATGATAAGGTCGGTGTAAAGGGAATCTGTTTCTAGGTGATTATTTGAGGTTTGTGGTGGACGTTGCAGTTTATTTTGTTTAATTCTTCTTCGGTTACCCCCCAGTGTGTTATTTTATTCCAAACTCAGTCTCTTTTACGCGATGGTGAGCACGTCGGAGATTTCTCGTTTCTTCCCATAAGCTGTTAAAGCGCGAACGCCGTAACATAAAACACCGACGTCCGGAGATAGACTTTCGCATTCAAACAGTTATCGAGACCGCCCCGCTAGAAATGAAGCCAGCTAGCCTTGTGTCCACTCACTAATTGAAGCAGCTGTCGGATTCTCGTTGGTGCGCATTGGGAATTTCATTCTTTCTTCACCAATTTTACACTCTTTTTACAAATTGTTCCCCGAAGCACACGCTCCAGATTTTGCGATAGTCTACGAGCCGTTCCGTCACACCTTCCTCGGGAATCCCGCCCGTCTTAACAACCTTTTAAACACATTCTGCGTCGAAAAGATTGAGAACTCTCGCCGCAGACTGCATCGCAGAAAGCCATTGGGGAGGCGGACTCACGCAGGTTGTGCGGGGTGGCGGCACTGGGGCTGAGCAGGGAGGCGTCATTGTCCTCGTCTTCGGGGCTACCCCGCTTGTCGATGGACTCCTTGATCTGGTTGTTGGCCCCCTTGGGGTCCAGGTCCATGGCCCACGAGAAGTTCATCAGGGCCAGGTGGGTGTTGCCCAGCTTCTTGTGCACCTGGACGTCATTCAGAACAAACAATGTTGTTCTCTTTCATCGGGCCCGTTTATTAGAGTTATAGGGTCAGCTCTTAGTCACATGACACTATGAGGCAACACTGTGAAACGAAGGCACCGTCGGCAGTTGGAAAGCCATATCGGTCGTGTTAATTTTTCCCTCCCACCACATTGCTTGCTCGCAGAACGCAGTATTTACGAGTGAACTAAACGAGTAAGAAGTAAGGACGCACATATCTTCCAAGACCAGTTCTCTCCATGGACGGCACGAAACAAGGGACAAATTTACCGCGCAACGACCATGATCGATTGACTGACGGGTTTTAACGGCTCGAAAGCTTCCGGGGCTATGCTCTGTTTCACCTTACACTGGACAGCAGAGGAAGCAACGAGCCAAAGAAGTTAATCCAGTGCCGCTTGAGTGTCACGTGACGCTCGGGAGAACGCAGCGACACGCGGGGCACAGGACCACGCGATATATTCACAGCGCTGGATTGGCTCGTAGCATCTGCTGCAGTCCGTAAAGTGAAACGGAGCATACGAGGTGCATTCTTTAAACTTTACAGACTGTTTCTTCGAAAAAAAGCCATCAATGTACACAAATAAGGTCTGTGCAGGTAAATTATAAGGCTAGGGGGACATAATGTAGAGGACTAATCGCCTTGATAAGTCGATTAACGAACAAAAACTTGTTAATTAACCTAATTAGTGAAGAAAAACATATGGTTCCAATTAGAGGCTTGATGTGCTTCCCCAAAAAGTACTAAATCTTAGAATGACTCGAAGCGCGAAGTGGTGCGCTAGTTACCGCTTGTACAACAATCGCAAAGCTATCGGTACGAAAACACGCGCATACGTTTTCTAGGTCTCTTATCACCCGCGTCCCTGCACCACGAGCTTTGCAGCTATTGCACCAGTAGCACCTAATAATAAATAAATGAATAAATAGCCTAAGAAATGCACCGATATAAGGTGCCAAGTACCTGATCCAATGCAAAAGGCGCCTGTTCGGATGTGGCTACTACTATGTGGACAAACGCACCTTTCCGCAGAGGAAGTAGACTAGAGACTCCTTGGGCACCATCTGCTTGAGCTCATCCAGCTCCTTCAGCGCCTCCTGGTAGCGGTCGAGGCTGAAGAAGATGGACGCCCGGTGGAACTTGCACAGCGGGTTGCGGGGCTCCATCGTCATGGCACTGTTCAGCGTCGTCAGGGACATCTCCGTCTTCTTCAGCGCGTGCTGAACCTAAGACGCCAGATGCGACTTAGTCAGGGCTCGCCGAATTCGCGCTACTTTAGCGGACAAAGCTCTCGTTCAGCGGTCAGATGGTCATGTAGACACCGAGCTCCATCTCAGAAACATCAACAGCGCTGACAAAGGCAAAGGCACACGTGCATGGCTCTGAGGCATCTCCAAAGTTTGCGGAAAATAATTTTTTTTCTTAATATTGTCTTATCACAACCAAGTTTGGCATGCGTATGCCTTAGAATATGTAGAATGCAACTATTAAGGCTTAGTAAAAATGTATACTTTTGATATTTATGTACAATTTATTAAATTTTGTTAGTCCTTTAAAAAAGGCATTTTTGTGATTTTCAATATTTTTTAAATAAAACATCTCTTGCACACATTATTTACGTTCATTACACTCAGTGGTTTAAAAGTGAATAAGCTCATTTTACTAGGCTCATCTAAGCGTGCTGCCATGCTCCACACGTGTGCAAGAACATTGTTATTTCTGTATGAGCATAGCAGCCAGAATGTAAACACCACGTTTATAAAAAGATCAAGCACTATAAATTGTGAACATTTCATTCAATTATTGCATATAAAAAAATAAAAAAATTTTAACAGTTTGAATGGAAAAAGCATGTCATAAAATAAACTTACAATGAAAAAAAATTTTTTTCTACCGCTATATTTATGGCACGAGTCAAATTTGTAGTTGGCACCTGTGAGAGCCCGCAAAAGGGTGGCAACCAGAAGTTGCATGACTGGCCACTAGTCACGTGGTGCTTGCGCTCTTTCGGGAGCTTCCTATGGGCTCTAAAGGTTATACTCCCATTCCACGGAAAATGGCAAAGCTTTTGTTTGTTATCGTACCAGTCAAAACGGAAGTGACAATTTTCTTATAGTGCTTGTTGTTTCTCAAACATCAAAATATTTTGTTAAAAAAAGAAGTGCAACAACAAAAACGAAGAATAATTAGTATAACCTTTAGAGCCCATAGGAAGCTCCCGAAAGAGTGCAAGTACCACGCGACTAGTGGCCAGTCACGCCACTGCTGGTTGCCACTTTTCCGCTGGCTCCCCCAGGTGCCAACTACAAATTCGTTTTGCGTCCTGAATATAGCACTAGAATTTTTTTTTTGTTGTTATTGTAAATTCATCTTATGACATCCTTTTTCCAACCAGGCTGTCTAGAAATTTTTTTTTTCCTTTCCATATGTATTTTAACGACACTCTGAACATAAAGAGTGGACTGTATGTTAAAAGTCGCAAAACAAACACATTTGTCACGTTTAAGACAAAAGAAAGAATACGACAAGCTGTGAATCCAGTCCCACACATTACGTAAGAGGACTAGCTCTTTATATCAGCTTATTAGTGTTAATTTCAACAAAAAACAAACAAACAACATAGCTCAACTTGTGGACAACAGACATTACACTGGGGGAGCTCACAAGGAGCTTGGAAAGCTTACCACAGCGATGTGGCAAAGCAGAACGGAGCTCTGCGGGTTGATGTTCAGCGCTCGCTTGAAGTGCATCTCTGCCAGGAGGTACTGCTGCTGTTTGTAGTAGATCATTCCTGCCCCGTACCTGAAATGTGAAAAACGAAAAGCTGGATTAACCTAATGACGATTCAACCATGTTGGACCAATGTTGAACAGCTTACTGACTTCTTCAAAGGTCCTTCAGAGCAGTCCCAGTTTTGGAAGGTAGGCTTTCCCGATGGTATTTAAAGACGACGTACGCAGCGCGACGCAGTTGTCGCAAACACGTCTGCCCCTTTTTGCATTTTACTGTTACTGGTGGTCGTTGCACAAGGAGTTTAACTGCTTAGGTTAGTGCTTAATATGACAGCAAGTGCTTCAGTCACTTGACGACAGTCAGCTGCAATTCGCGTGCGATGACGACGACGCGGCTCTGAATATTTGAGAAGCAATGAACTGTCCGACGCGCAGGTTCGTTAAAACTAAAGAAGTCTATTTAAATGTAATTCCACGACCACCGAAATACCCAACACACATTTGATTTAAAGAAACTTCAGACGCAGTGTGCCTACTATATTATTACCGTTACTACTACATCACTACTGGATTATTACCATTCCTGCTACATTATTGCCATTGCTATTACATCGCTACTGCCTTAGAGCAATTACCGATACATTATTACCAACACTACCACCATTGCCACCAAATCCAAAGTTGCACTACAAACACAGCAGCAGAGATTGTGCCACCGCTCCACTCAAAAGTGGGTCAAGCTCTAAAACCCGCTGCAGTGGCCCACTGAAGTGCCTACTGAAGTGCCCACTGAAGTGACCTACTGAAGTGACCTACTGAAGTGACCTACTGAAGTGACCTACTGAAGTCGCCCACCGAAACGGCCCCACCGAAACGGCCCCACCGAAACTCACCACGCGTTGTAGTGCCTCGGGTCCACCAGGATGGCGTTGCGGAAGGAGGCCAGCCCCTTGTCCACCTCTTCCACCGAGATCAGCTCGTGGCCCAGCAGGGTGTAGGCGTACGTGAAGTCGGGGTCCACCTGCACCGCTCGCTGGAGGAACTTCACCGCCGTCTCGTGCTCCCGCTGCAGGCTGAAGCAGTTGCCCGCCACCGCACACGTCTGCCCGACAGAGAGAGAAAGAGGAGGGCCGTGAACGACTCGCGTAACACCGGTGCCACCGGCAAGCCCACCGCCACCCAATAAAAACTGGCCGTCACTAGCTCCTGCACCGGTGCAGAAAAGTGTGAGGCACTGTACCTCTGGCAGGTGTATTGAGATATTACCTACACTTTTCTGCGCTGGTGCAGGAGGGGCAGGTAAATCGAACGCAGCTAGTGACAGGATGGGAACGACCCTTCAGAAATCCGACCTTTAGCATGTTGGCCAGTAGGCAACGTCGTCGTGTTAGGTACTGCCTCAAGAAAACCAGCTTACCCGGGAATTAGTAAAACGAAGAGACGTAGCAAATAAGAGAAGGGACATCTCGGCTTGCGGGCCTCAAGAACGTTCTACATATTCTACATGCTATTTCCTGAGAAATTTGGGAAACGTCCCACTATCCGAAATCTCTCTTAAAGGCCTAAATAAATCTAGATACACTTTCTTAATTCGCCATGTACGATGCACGTCCAAGCTCCACAACTTCTTTCAAACAATTAATTTTCTATATTTTTTATTACCATAATTTTTTTTCCATTTTTTTAATACTGCATTTTTTCTAGATTGCTTTCTAGTTTTTTTTTTTTTTCTAAACACTAGAAAATAGACGAAGTAGAAGAAGTTCACATAGCGAATATATTATTTCTTTTTATAATACATATTGTGAAATTGGTACACCTCCACCATTCTTTTTAAGAGTTCTTCCCCATTGCCTTTGCAACCTCCACACACAGTGCCGACTTCATAAGAGGGCAAACCTTAGAACATATTTTACCTTTTGAAACAATGTATCCCCCTTTAATTCCCTAGTTCCTGCAGGGAACCCAAAGCTTTTCCCCATCCAACCCCCCCCCCCCCCCACCCCCCAAAAAAAAAACAAAAAAACACTTGCTTCCCATTTTGGGAAAATTATAAAGTAGCCTTTAGCCACTTTTGCAAAATGGTGAAAAATGCATTACCGATAACTTTCAAGTTTCAATTGCAATCATACAAACAAAATACTACATTTTCTTTTTCTTATAGAACACAATCGTACAAAAACACAAAACAAAGAAAAGAATTTTTTTTTTTTTTTAAATTGGTTTCAAATTTGGTTTGCAAAATATCTGTTCATTCAAATACACAGCGCATCCCCCGAAATATTTAGTTATTGTCGCAGCAAAAATAGACCCCGCATCGCCTAACATTCATTTTCCACCCGAATCTAGCGTTAGTGGTCCGAACTATGGGCCAAAATTTTAGCCCTAGCCGTTATCTTATTCAAAAGTGAATAGTGATTCATTTGAAAATTTCAACAGGAAAATCGGGTTCATTTTCGGTAACTCGTGCCATAGAGCTCCACTTATCTGACGGCTCTGTCGGCCGCCATTTTCCCATTCAAAATTTCAGAAAATCCTGGATAACTGTTGAATAAAGCAGCTGTTAGTGCTGAAACTTTGGCAACTGCTTCGTACCACTACCGCTACATTTGGGCGAAAAATGAGCATTCAAGAATGCAGAGTTTAATTTTAGGGAGAAAAATAGCCTGCAAATGTCTTGGGCATGACACCCATGTATATACGGATTTTATTTTGTACATATATTATTGAATTTATATGCACAAAAAAGGCCAGGTTTGAGCTTTTTTGGTGATATCAAGGTTCTTAAAATACTTAATGTAAGTCACGTCCAAGAACTTGCCAATCTTTTGCCAAAAAAATATTTAAAAAGTTTGACTTATTTCTTTTTTATTACAGAATACTTTATTTATTTATTATGCACCATAAAATATATCTTGAAAGTATCACAGAAGATGTTCTAATGCGTGAGAAGGGAAAGAATAGCGAGCAGTCAAACATGCGATCTCCAACAGGTAAAAGAAACATCAGTTTTCGCCTTGGCCGTTTCAATGATCAATAACTCTAAAACAAAAAATCCACCAAGCTTGCCGTTTGTGCAGTCATTCATTTCAGAAATTCGCCCAGAATATAATTTCCTTTTTTTTAATTAAGAAATTTGATTTTAAACTTGTGCCCCTCTGAAACTCTTGTGCGTTATGCCAGGGCACTTGGGGCAAGCAAGTTCTTATTGACAAGCCGAAAAGCCTAGCTCGGAATTTCACACTTTTCCAACTGCCCCTTCTCCACGCACGCCAAGCCTGAGGCTCGTTTAAGACTTCTCATCTTTGTTTCATATTTTTGTACATGAAAACTTGTTTACACCGTAAAAAAGTATAGTGTTCCCATAATTTAATGCCGCCACGAGATGGTTCGATTTTGGCATTTTTTGTGCTGTTCGTGGACCCTAGTGGCCGCATTGCGGGGTGAAAGCTCGACTCCCCTGATCGTTGTCAAATCTTCTCCGAATGAAAGCCAACTTTTTTCTGAAAATCGTTGGCGTGCAAATACGGTAGGCTTGGGGGAATGTCACGCTAAATCTTCACAAGGTCGAAGTTAGTTTTGCGCGGCGCTGCATGCAAGAACCGGCTTTCATACGTCGCCATGTGTCTCTCATGGTGAACGAAGTTCCTAACGGTGTATTAACGCGTCAGAGATTTCTTCCACAGAGAAGAGCAAACGTCGCCGCGCTTCGAGGTCACGTGCGCCACATCACGGATGCCTGCTAATCCCCGTACTCGGCACAGAGCCGAGGATCACCTCCTCGTTCCCGCGAGAAAAGAAGATGACGTCGAACGACAATGCCAATGGCACGGGCAAAAAGCATGAGGCAAGCTTAAAGTCGTCGCATTCTCTCACCAATAGCATTAACGTTGACAGCGTGACATTGCTCTTGTGGCTTACTCATCGACAGAGATTTTCTCCAGGTAGAGGAACATATGTCGCCGTGTTTTGAAGTGATGTGGGCCACGTGACGGACACTTGCTAATCCCTATACTCTGCAGGGAGCCTAGGACAAACCGTTCCCTTCCTACAGATTGTCCCGTCGCCCCGGCGATAAAGGAAGACAGCATCCAACGACGAGTTTGATTGGTTTGATGACGCGCGTGAAAAGCACAGTGGATACTTGAAGTCGCTGCATTCTTAAACCAATACCGTATTTACTCACACAATGAACGCACTCGCGTAATGAACGCACCCCCCCAAGTCGGCTCTCAAAATTTAGACTTTTTTTTTTCACTCGCGTAATAAACGCACCCCCAACTCGGATGTCAAAATTTTGACCCCCTCCCTCCCTCCCTCCCCCCCTCCCCCTCCCCCTCCCCTCCCTCCCTCCCTCCCTCCCTCCCTCCCCCCCCCCCCCCCCCCCCCCCCCCCCCGCGCTAAATGAATGCACTCTTCTATCCTGGTGCAGCCAGGTCGCGAATGCATGGGCAGAGTGGGCGAACAAAACGGCTTGCAAGAGGCGTTAAAAAAATTCGCAAAGATCTAACGGAAGCAAGAAAAAAAACACATGGAGAGGAGCTTTTTTTATTTTTGCACAGCGCAGTCTGGACTTTGGGTTCGCGCGCCGCCGCGCGCAAGGAAGTAAGAAAGAGAAGCGGAGAAGCGCTCTAAGCAAACGAAACAGCTTGCGAAAAGCGGCAAAAAGAAAAAAAAAAAACAAAAAAACACGGTACTAAGAGAAAACAAAGAATTTTTTTTTTCTTTTTTTTGCACAGCGCAGTTTGGTTACAGGGGTCGCGCGCCGCGCACAAGGAGGTAAGAAAGAGGAGTGGAGAAGCCCTCTAAACAAACAAAACAGCTTGTGAAAGGCGGCAAAAAAAAAACCACGGAATTGAGAAAAGAAAAAGAGGAGCTTTTTTTTTTTTTTTTTGCACAGCTCAGTTTGGTTACGGGGGGGTCATGCGTCGCGCGCAAGGAGATTAGAAAGGTAAGCGGAGAGCCCTCGCCTAAGCAACGCCTAAGCAAACAAAACAACTTGCGAAAAACGGCAAAAAAAAAAAAAAAAACGCAAAAAACCAAGCAATTAAAAAAAAAAGATTTTTTTTTTTTTGGTCGGGCGCCGCGCGCAGAGATAATAAGTTACTTCGATTTTTCAGGATAAAAGGTCCGTTCATTATGCGTGTACGGACGCAAAAATTTTACTTCGCGTAATGAACGCCCCTTCCCAACTTCGCATCGATTTTTCGGAAAAAAAAAGTGCGTTCATTCTGCGAGTAACTACGGTAACCTCGAAGTTGACAGTCCGACGCTGCTCCAATTTCCGTCGATGAAAGGAAGATTATTCCCAATGTCAGACTGTTAAGCTTGGTGCACGAAGGCGACGACTTCAAACTTCCACCGTGCTTTTAGGACGATAGCTTTATGGGCGACATTTTACGGAGATTTCGTCCTAGTCTGTTGTTGTCGCCTTGCACCCAAAGAATGGAAAAACCCTTCCTGTTTACCCTCTTGCCGCGAGGAGAGGGGAGTCAGGACTTCCCGTCTGCCATGGCGCGCGAAGAGGGCAGCTCTGGCATCATGCCAAGAATAGACCTTTTTCCACTAACCAGTGCCGCCTGCAGAGTTGTCTTCGAACTACAAATAAATGGCTGTCCAACTTGCCTCCGCCTGTCAGAAAACATTGGCGTTGATCTTCGATGCCTTTTATGCCCCATACCAGCGAACAATCAAACCAGAATCACCAAAAAAGAAATATGCGCAGAGATGGGTGCTGAATATGTTGGTCGACCCGAACTTTGCCCTGCGAAAATAGCGACAGGGGGAAGCAAGGCCAGAGGACGGGGGTGAAGGCATGCGCAGAAGCATACTGGGAAAAGGTTCATTGCACGATGAAAGGACAGTCATTGTGATGTCTGCTTGAAAGACTTGTTTTTGAAGATCTCGCGTTATGCGAAATCCCAATTTAGCAGTATCCAGCAGCTACGCGTAATGTTGGACGATTTTAGAGACTTCCACCGCGCTTACCCACCCACGACACCAACCACGATGGCTATGAGAATTGACTACGTCACAACCTCTGTCCTCAGGTGCGTGACGGCACCATTCCACCCGCATTGCGCGACCGCACTACACCTATCAGTTTTCGTTTTCTTTGCACATTGTGGGCGAAAAGTATGACTTTTTACACACAACATAAAACTTGTCGCGAGGCGGTGCACGCGACCTTGAAACGCGATGACATCCGCTCCTTTCTGTGTAGAAAAACCTTCTTTGTGCAAATACATTGTAACTTGTTGTTGAATGTTTAGGCAGCGGAAAGTTAAACTACCCCAAGAGGCACCTGGTGTCTCCAAGGTGGGCGAGAAATTTAGCACGCCAGTATGATGCTCATCCAGATCGAAACGGGCAGCTGTGTGGTTTGAGTCGATGGTTCCTGGGTTCTGTGGCACAATTTTCCCCTCTGCGTTATTCTCCTTATGTGTTAAGGTCTGAAGTCAAGTGTGCTAGTGAACAAGCACTTGCCTCGTTCAGCAGTTAGAAGAACCATGGCCGGGCTAGAGTGAACAGGTACAATTTTCTTACGGCGTTTTGCACGGGGAGTGGCTGTTCCCTGGGGCCGCAACTCGAAGGGGTAGCTGTAACCATACCCTTCCTACAGCGCTTTAATTCCTTCTGAGAGGCACTTCCACCTCACCGTTTTGGCTTCCTTGCTTTGGGGTTGAGTTGGAGAAGTTTCCAGAGTAGTTAGACCCACAGGTCATGAGGCCGGCTGCCTTCAGAGACTTACCGTATTTGCACAAATATAACGAGTTTTTTTCGAAATTACGTGCTCCAAAACGCACCTCGCGTTATATTCGGAATCGAGTTCAGCCACGGGGCGCGCGAGTCTGGAGAAAGCCATCCCTCCGGCTCAATGCAAAAGATCGGGTGGGAAAAGAAGTGGGGGTGTGGAGGGGAATTTTTTAGCTATTGGGCCAAGTGAAGGGGCGAATAGGAAACATAAAAAAGCATTTTTATCGCTTTTGTGTTTTTACAACGCGCGCACGCCGCAGAAACTCGGCACGCGCGCGTCATGCGGGAATTAGGGCACCGGCAAATTCGAGCCAAGCCGCGCCAAGTCAAGCCACGCTAAGTCAAGCCACGCTAAGTCAAGCCGCGCTAAGTCAAGCCGCGCTAAGTCAACACAAGCCAAGCCAAGACCACCAACCGCGTTTACGCAATCGTGCGACACGAGGCATTTGTTTATGCAGAGGGACCAGAACAAGAAGTGTGATTGTGTATCGGGTTCAGCAGTCTTTTCTCTGCCTGCGCATTGTTTAGTTTCTGCTCCAGATTGGTCTGGTGTTTGTGTGTTGGTGCTTCTGCTTCCCTTGCAGGGAAGAAAAAGGAACTACCAAACAACCAGGTGCTGTGCTGCTGCTTATCTGCGTAGTCACCAAGTGGATTGTAAATGGAAGGACCTGAGCAGTGAGGATGAGTGCAGCCAAAACATAAACTGATATTTCTACTATTTCCATTGACTTTTCACTTCTGCTATGCCCCCGAGTGCGAGAAATTGACGCGTCCCTCGGTTCGCGTTATAATAGTAATAATTTTTTTTTTTACTTTTTGGGGGCATCAAAACCTGCCCTCGCTTTATATTCGTGGTCGTGTTATATTCGTGCAAATACGGTATGCAGAACACCTCTTCCTCTTCGCCTCCTAAAGAAATATGTCTCTAGCGACAAGCGTTTAATTATCGTAAGCTGAAGCATAATTCAATCACCTCACTACAGTTATTTCAGATAAGAATGCTGTCACAGATTTTAAATCGCAGTGATCGGGGAACAGTTGTTCAGGATGGGTCAAACAGTGTTGGTCAAGGTAGTGTGGTCATGTGGCTTTCCGGCACGTCGCATCGAAACATAATTGTGATATCCGTTATTCTAACGGCCAAGTGAACAGAATTTAAGTGTTTTTACTCAGATGCAGAACCGTCCCATCTTCTTTTTAAACTCTGCCCATTTGTACTACCAAACCATGTACAACCAAGAATGTCACCCTACACATGTTCCCAGCGAGCAAAATTTCTAATATACTCGTATTATATTTTTTTATATCAAGATGATGACTATTTTATACACTATGTATTCGCATATAATAAATCATTTTGGGAAGCAACCAAGCGCGAGAATTGCGATTCAAGCATCTGCTTATATCGTAATTTCTTCATGGCCTCCGTGGGGCCTCAGCTTTAAGGGGAAGGCGGCTTACAGTGGCTGCGTTCTTGTCCAAGTCCATGAGCTCTTGCGCAAGGGTGGAGAGATGAACCTCCCTCTGCAGGTGCCACAGGGACGTGCTGTAGTATTCGAGGCCCTTCAGACGGTAGGGCTCAAGCGTCCGAAGCTCCTCAAAGACGCGCACAGCCTAGAACAAACAAACAAGACAAACTGCCTTGAACTCATGGAACATCACTCCGCATGGTACAGTACATTTTATTCGGAGCGAATATGAACAGTTATACATAAGGTTCAAGCTCAAAGTCATCATCCCACGAATTTCATACACAGGGTGTTTCTCGAAACGTGAACCAAATCGTTTCGGTGAAAAATATGCATCACGCATAAAAAAAGTTGATGCCATTGTGAACTCTCCCAAAGGACCCAGTAAGGAAAATTATTAACATTCAGTATAAACAAGTCACTAATTACTTTTGAGTAATTAAATTTTTAATTAATAATTTTAGAGGTATGGTTTTGATTAGAAATGTGATGCCAATCATTAAAAACTACTAAATTCACCTACATTACGATATAGGTGGGGTTCTGTGTTTTTGGCATATACTACCAATAAACACAGAAACCCCCCCCCCCCCCCCCCCCCCGGTGATTTTCTCTGAATCCTCAGAAACCAAACCAAACCAAACCCCTCCCCACCCCTCTCCTCTTTCTCTCTCTCTCTCTCTCTCTCCCCCTCCCCCTCCCTCCCTCCCTCCCTCCCTCCATCCCTCCCTCCCTCCCTCCCTCCCTCCCTCCCTCCCTCCCTCCCTCCCTCCCTCCCTCCCTCCCTCCCCCCCCCCCCCCCCCCCCCGCCCCCCGAATTTAAGCTGTCCTTGATGAAAAAAAAAATAACAAAAAAAAAATGCAAGCTTCACGAAAATAAATCTTCCACCCTACTTTATTTTTTATTGTTGGCCCGGAACACAGCCACACTGAACTGCCCTTGGGGTCGTTCCTTTCTGCCGAAACCGCATTCCTTGCCCCGTTCCCTTCTCTTATCTTTACCAGCATTACGAAAGAAAATATTATAATTTATAACTCATAAACCATAGTATTTTCTCCAGTAATTATACAGTCGCTTTACAACACAAACCTGATAAACACCGATTTCTTTCTGACACTGAAATTAGACACTGACAAATGCCCATTCAACGGAAAAAAATAAACACCGACAAATAGACCCAAACTCTAAGAAAAATAAATACCGAAGACACGAAATCCTAGATATAAATAAAGCATGTGCAGCATTCTACGATGTTCCGAGAAAACGCTTAATTTGGATGTGTTCCTGGGTTTCAGTTTTATTGGAGCGCCAGCACATCCCCCTCCCCTCCCCCCTGGCCAAAACGTAAAACGCACTGCACATGTGCCGCCATCCACCCAACGCAGAGGTGCATCTCCATACTAGCAGCGACATCGTATGGCAAAACACGTGTGGCAGTTCGGAGGCTTTCTTATCCAGCCTCTTCTACGTGCGAAGCGTGGCGGAGTGCAGATGTTGCGCGTTTTGACCCCGGGAAGCGGAATTGCTGGCGCGGAGATGCATTCCGATAAGAAGCCCAAACCTGAAGACGCGTCCAAATAGAGCGTTTTCTCAGAATGACGTAAATGCTGCACGTGCCTCATATCATTGTAATGCGAGTGAATTTAGTCATTTTCAATTATTGATATTAAGTTTCTAATTAATACCATACCTTTAAAATTAATGAGAGAATATTTAAATACTGAAAAATAATAAATGATTTCAGTATACTGAACGCTAACAATTTTCCTTAATGGGCCCTTTGGCAGAGACCAGTACGGCGCCAACCTTTTCCCTGTGCTTCGTGTATCTTTCGTAGGAAGGATTTGGCTCACGTTTCAAGGAGCACCCTGTATATTGCAGCCAACGGACCTCTTTCCAGAGCCATTTATGTAGAGAGTTTGGTCATTAAGTGGTAAGAATAGGGCAAAAATAAGGGCACGCCATTGGCCGAAATTGTTACAATGACCTTGGGCACAATGATTGACAGCTCTTGTGATTAACCACTAGCCACAAATATTCCCCTAACAGAGGGAAGGAGCTTAACAAATGCTTTCGAACCACGCTTTCTAGGTAAGCTAAGGATGTATTCGAGTGTTTCATTTCGGCACGTTAGAGCTGAAATTTGCGATTCTGCGTAACTGAAAGGGCAATGCATGTGACGTTGTCGTCACAGCAACATCCAAAACGCACAGAATATTTTTTTGTATTGCAGTTGTGGCCCCAGTTGCTGCCACGGCAATGACAAAGTGAACGGTAAAAACTGCGGATTCGGCTCATGGAAGCTTTGACCCTAATCCCGCGCAAGCATCCCGCATGCGCAGTTTTGCGTAATGTTTCAGCAAATTTTTCTCGTCAATGTTCCCTTTTCTGGCTCAGTAATTGCACTCGGCACCTTGAAAGTCCCCTTTTCCACCAGCCTCTTACAATTATACATTCATGTACTTTCAGCCTCCATCCAGAAACAAAAAAATACATACGCTGCACTACACGAGTCCTTTAAGGTCATCCCAGCACATTCTTACTTCGCAAGTTCATCACGGGGGAATGTATGGCGCTGGCAGCACCACTGCTTTCGCCGCTCCACCCCGGCCAACCGGCTCCTCCCACTGACCAAACTCTCTCTATATATGGCTCTGCCTTTTTCGAGTACAGAGCACTGTCTGGGGGGTTCTACGCAAACCACAAAGGAAGGGCAACTCAACGAGCCTCCGCCAGTCTAACACATTGACATTGTGCCGCTGTGCTAACAATGTTGGTCGTGCCCTCCGGAAATGGCGACAGCGGGAAGAAAGAGTCGGGGAAGAGGGTGTATGCATGTGTGGAGAGTTACTGGAAAAAGGTCCATTATAACGGCTCTTTGCACCCTCAGATGACCTCTGTGTTTTGCCATCATTTCTTCTTATTCGTAACATCCAAAAACCTTTAATGAATGCCAGACATCTCAGAATATGGAATTCAACAGCAGTAAAGCCGCGGACGCAGAATTGGAAATAGAAGAGGGAACCTGCAGAAAGCCCCCCTCATCAAGAACAAAATCAAGAAACATAAAACCCCAGCTGTACCGATCTACAATGAAAACTTCGTCGAAACTTTCCAGTGTCCCACCTAAAATCAAAGCTGTGCCACCCACCTTGTCGTACTCGCCCAGCTCGAAGTAGGCACGTCCCAGCGCGGCCAGCACCCAACCCGTGCTGTACTGGTGGGGAGGCAGGTCCTGGAGCGTCTCGATGGCCTGCTTGACCCGGTACTGTCCCAGATAGAGCTGGGCCCGTCCCAGGTCCTGGAGCAGCTCCATCAACCCCTCTGTCAAGGACACGGAGCGAGGTAAAAATAATATCAGCTAGGGCGCCCGAGAAAATCCGTGGTGGCTTTTCTGATAAGAACAAGGTCGGTCTGGTGAACAATAAGACTTCGGAATTAATGGGAACACTGCATAGAGCCATGGCAATTAGGCGGGCTTTTGATGTATACAGTGCAGTCCACTTATAATAATACCACATATGACAGTGTACTGCTTATGATGATCATTTTCTAGAGTTTCTAGACTAGAAACGCTCAGTTTCTAGTCCAGATACAATGATAATCGGTTATCAGGTGGTCTTATTATCTTTATAAGTGGATAGCAATTAAAGTCTTTGGCAAAATTAACTGGCCCAGACTAGTGCTAACCAAAAGAGGTAAAATGCTGAAGGAGGTGCCTCCGGCATGCTAAGCAGTGAAACCGACTGCCACGTTGCGACGATAGAAAATGTGGCGGTCCATTCAAACCCCTTTCTTAAAAGGCAAGCATACCCGGGGCGCCCCGCATGGCCATTGTGCTGCCCCGGCCGGAACACCGCTGGGGCAGCTCACGTTGTTACACCCTGTACACTTTTCCACCGATAAATCTTAAATAGGCTTTGGCCCACATCTGCATATGAGCTATGCAAGTAGGATGCCTTTTGCTTCTTGGTGCACCCTATGTAATTAACTTTACTGAGCAGAAAAAAAAAGGGGTAAGGAGTCAAAGACAAATTTCATTTACCCTCAGACATACACCTTACGAGATACATGGGTTACACTGACGTCACATCACATACTTTTGACCACCATGTAAGAGGAGAGGGAAGTTGCTTTTGTAAGAATTTCGAGTGACAATTTAATCTTCTATAATCTTCTGGGAGGAGAATAGCAACGTCTGTGCAAATCCGGGAGGCACAAAAGAGGATCCTGATAAAAAGGGAGCTCCCTCTGCCCTGGTGGTCATTGGGGCGCTCTTTGGATGACGTCACGTGCAACCCACGTATAGGTAGCACAAACAGGACGACCCAAAAGGGATAATTCTTTCCTTTCTTGTTTTGTTATTAGACAGAACTGTTAGAAAAAAAAAAGTAAGAAGTTTAGAAAAAAGAAAAAGGAATATGAGTAGCTTTACGATTGCTGAATGTGGTGTCTATTCGGAGCTTCAGTCAGCCGCAGTAAACAAAAGAATATTGTGGTCACTTCAAGTGGTAAGTTAGAATCAACGTTACTAAAACACTCAGTTAGGAAACTTGCCCATGAGGCCCGGACCTCTCTCACCCACCGAGACCAAACTGAATACAACAACAGCGCTGCCTTTCAGCGACGAGTCAAAACATGAAAGTTGATTTATATAGTTAGGGCGAAATGGCACTGCAAGATGGTGCCACCGGCCCTTGCACGACTCGACCTAAACCCATATGTGCAGCCATGCAGATCCCGGAGTGGCCGCTGTGGGGGAAATGGTGGCGTCGCAATCGCCTTTAGTTTGTTTCTCGAGCATGAATCAGAGCCACTTTTTCAAAGCAGGCTCTAGGCAGTTTAAAAACTGGGGTGTTCTAGTGACGTTGGTTAGAACAAGCCACAGATCACTGAAAAAAACTTTCAGCCTTTCCACTCTGGTGAAGAAGGAAGACAAGCGAAGCTGTACTATGGTAAGACGACGTCAAGGATGACGCCTAGAGGATGACATCTAGGACGACGTCTAGAACGATGTCTAGGACGACCTCAAGGACGACTAAGACGACCTCAGGAACGCCGCCTAAAGGACGATGCCTAGGATGACCTCAAAGACGGCCTCAGGGATGACGTCTAGGATGACCTCAAGGATGACATCTAGGAAGACCTCAAGGAAAACATCTAGGACGACCTCATTGGGGACTACTAGGACGACCCCAAGGACGACCTCAAGGAAGATTTCAAGAACAACCTCAAAGACGACCTCAAGGACAAATTCTACGACGATGCCTAGAAAAATTCAGCCTTTCCACTCTGGAGAAAACCAAAGTGGAAAGGCTGGAAAGGTTGCCGCCATCTATGAGTGACGACGGCAACTGGACAACCAGCAAGTTGGTTGTCTGGTTGCCGCCATCGCTCATAAATGGCGGTAGCTGTCCAGAGTTTTGTGTCTACATTTATTTCGTGATGAACACGAAACCGGGGAAACTAGCCCTTAACAGCTCCACTGTAAAAACTCCAAAACCCGAAGTCTTTACGCACCGGCGGACGCCCTCTGCATGGAGAGCACAGTCTGCGCCAGCGACACGGCGGGCGGTGGTTCCATCTTGTTGAGCTCGTTGAACTCGCTCTCCCCCACCACCCCGCCCGACGCCACAACCCCCACCGGGGTAACGCTGGCGGGCGTGTTGGGCGGGCCGGAGCCCCTGAGCGTGCCCCTCGATGGCTTGGTCTTCTTCGAGGAAGGGGACTTTGCCGCAAGGCCCCTCAAGGCCTTGGGGGAAGAGCTGCCCTTGTTGTTCTCCTTGACGGAATTGGAGCTGCTGAAGAGGCGCGAGCTCCGCCGCACACTGCTCAGGCCGCTGGAGGGGAAGCTAGGAAGAAGACGGGCAGGAAAAAGACACACGAGGCCAGGTTCACGAAACGAATGTACGACAAGACACGTGCGTACGAGGAAACCTGAGAACAAATGCGTGTTTACAAAGGAAAACGATTGTGACTTTTGCACACTGTATTTGCTGGTCTGTAAGTTGCACCCTCGTATGAGTCGCACTTCCCTGTAAACAGCCATATTCAAGAAAGTTGGTAAGTCACGCCTTCGTACGAGGCATATCAGTGCAATAGGTGCAGCGAAACTGCATCGATGAACTCGCGTGCGCCTATAACGATTGCGACATACGCTCAAGTGGGAGCCCATTTCAATATTCACGCCAAAGAACAGAATGAGAAATGTGACCTTTGTGGCAAATCTACGCAAAATTTGTAGCTTAAGAACGGGATTCTCAAGCTTGTTGACGAGGAACTGCTTCCGGTCCTGGCATGGATGCAGTAATCGGTGCAGGAGCCTACAGACCTTGTTAACAATGGTGCACACAATAGGGAATCTTTGGCTCATAGTTATGCCTACATAGGTGGCTCACATCTGCCCAAATGGGACATACACCTAAAAAACACTTCGAGGGCAGGGATGGTCGGGAAATCGGGGAGCAATCCAGTTTGAGAATCTACAGCTTACAATATGTGCAACTTAGAAACATCTTGGCTAAACCGTCGTAGCCAAGATTTTCATGAACCTGGCTTAAGGTTCTTAGGAACTACAGTATAGACCACTTACAACGTAACCGCTTATAGTGCAGGACCGGGTATAAAGCGGTTTTATTAAACCACCGGTTCGCCTCCCATAGAACTCAATGTAATTACATACCGCTTAAAATGCAGGCGCGCGAAGGGAAATACCGGTTATAGTGCGGTTTCTGGCACAGCCCGCCGACCGCGCCGACGACCGGAGCAGCGAGCACGCTTCCCTGTGCGACACTAGATAACGGCGCGAGCCGCAACTTGCCGCAAACGGCACTCGCGGGGCAAGGAGGTTGCTCGGAGAAGCGAAGAGAGAGGCTTCATTTGCCATAGCGACGGAAGGACGCACGCACGTGTCGTTCATGTGCGTGCGTCCCTCCGCTGCGTTGGAAACAAACAACCGAAACGACAGACCAATCGCAGGTCGAGAAGTGTTCGCGCGCATTGCATGCCAATCGCGGGCCGACGGCTTCTGTCCGCAAACATGGCGTCGGTTGTGGCGTTCATCTCATCGTTCCGCGTAAAAACGCTATCCTTGACAGTGAATTTTCGTTGTGTGTCGCTATGATAACCCATCACGTACTAGAAGGGAAGATCCATCTACTCGTGCGGCGATGTGGCGGCGCTCTCAAGACGGCAGAAACGCCCGTGTCGTCGTGTTTGTTTACTTCGGCTAAAGTGGTGCTTTCTAAGCATTTGTGTTTTCGAACATCGCCCGGATTTCTTATTTGGAGCATTTCATGCCTGTGCTGAAGTTCAAGGTATTTTTCTGGCGCGTACCGTATGAAGGATGCGAACTTTCACGCGTTTTCATCTCCGGAGAAAAGTGATTAGGGTTAGCAATCCTGAACGCTCGCAACGTCCGTCCGCAACCCGCGACGCCGTTAAAAGGCTGCGCCAGGCAAAAGCTGCTGATTTCTTTCAAAATGTGTGACACACTTGAGACAGAACTGTACTAGTCTGGTGAAATAAAGACTTTTCTCAAACTAAGCTTTATTTTTCATCTAACATAAAATAAACTCTTTTACAAAGGTAGGTTGTCTCATGGCATGTATTTTGGCCTGAAAAATTGATGTTTTGGTTATAACGCGGTACCGCTTATAGTGCGGATTTTCGCGACTCCCGCGACATACGTTATATGCGGTCTACACTGTAGAAAGAAACTACCCGAAATGCTTTGAGCAGTGGCAGACATTTTGCTAGGAAAGTAAGCTTCCTCGGCGGCCTGAAGATGGCATGCTTCAACAAAGCATGAGCTAAAAATCTCAAAGTAGAAGCTCATGTTTTAGCAAGAGGCACAAGTTTCTTTGGCTCCTTAACAAAACATCAGCTTGGAGTTTCATCATAGTGGATGGCTATGTTTAGCAAAGAAACTTAGCTTATCGACAAGCTAGGGACATTGTATGAATTTGATGGGGTGGGCAATGTTTCAGTAACTCCTAAACCACAAACCTTTCGCAAGAAAAACGGGGTACCCGATATTTCAAGGGGTGAGCACCGGTTTAGGATCTTGGGGTATAGGTGCTTCGTGGAACCCTGAAGAAACCCTGCAAAACTATACCCACATGTTGCAAACTCCAAAACGATTACGGCACTGAGGAAACCTTCTACGTTTCTTGCTAAGGCTACACGCGGCTACACCAGAATTGAACCAGGCGGGAGAAAGATCGAGAAATGCTGTCGAGGTGACAAAGCCTCACCCGGCAGTGGGGGGTGTCTGCAGTAGGTTGTTGTTGCTCGACTGGCTGAAGATCTGCACCTTTGCTGTGTTCAAGCCTTGAGGTTTCCTCGAGAGGCTCTGAAAGTCGCAGCAGCAGCAAAATCACACCCCTTTCGGTTCCAGAATTGTTGTCAATCACGGCCGAACCGGCCAGGCTACTTGCGTAAGGGTTCCGCAACATTTATTTCACTTTCTTCGAGGACACAGAAATCTCATAGGCTTGACAAGAAACCGCATACCAGAAAATTAAAGAGGGTGTACAACGTACTGTCAGGCCCGAAAAGAATAAAACCGGCATGTTGTGGCGTTACTCGCATAAGTTTCATTCACTGTTCCCACAGATGTCTGCTACGTTAACACATGGTTCAGCATTAGTTTTGTATGTCCTGCATTTGTCGTTTTAAACTTTTACCGCAGGCGGGCCCATGCTTTAATAAATGGCGTATTTCAGTTTACTTTTTAAGCAGCAGCCAGTACACCCAAAACTTGCTTATGGGCACGGAAAGAACCAGTTATTATTAAAGTACAATTATTTATTACCTATCTATTAAAGGGAATGAAAACATTTCTGTAGTCTGGTTAGCAAAAGTCTTCCATAGGAAAGCCAGTTTTTCAGCGGTCGTCACCACATCAATATCTCCGCTACAAAACATGCTTCACTAGACTTTGTAAAAGTTCATTTGTACTTTGTAAAAGTTAGATCGAGAAAAAGGTACCCGGTTTTTTGTGGCCCACATAAATAAGCTATGCACCGCAGAAAGCTGAAACGCCATCAGAATATATTCCAGCAGTGGGCATAGGATGGGAAAGCTTGAGAACAGGACTTGCACCTCATAAAAAGATAAAAGTGAAAAACAACATTTTTCTTTGAGCCGACGTCCAGCTAAGCCCCATTTTATCAAAACAACAGGTGACAATCTGGGTGCCTGTGGCATTTGTTACGGTGAAACAAACTTGTTGGGAAGAAAGAAAACAATGTCTTGCTTGCTCGAAAGTTAGTTTTACTATAATGAATGCCACAAACACCCACAATGCCATATTTTTACGAAATTAGGCTCAGGTAGACATTATCTCGTAGAAAAATGCCATTTTTCGCTTTTATCTTTTGAGCCACGTAATGCCTTGTTCCAAAACTTTTGCGTACCATCCCCACCACTAGCGTCATGTTTCGGCCGAGTTTTAGCTTTCTGCAACGTTTACTTGCACGGGCCGAAAAACCGGGTTTCAATTTCTCGATTGATCCCGGAACGTTCCAACAGAGAAGAGCGGAGGACAGCTTGTTTCGGAGGCCTCGACTAACCTTCTTGATGGGAGGACAGGGCTCCTTGACGATAGACTCGAGGATGTTCTGAGAGGTAGGCGTCACGTAGGCCAGCATACCGGTGAAGCTTCCAGCGGCCGGCGTGCCCAGACTAGACGTCGTCAGCGGAAGCACCCCAAACCTGAGACAACGCGACACACAAGAAAACATGTGGGCAAAGAAACACCAGTAGCTATGCAGGCAGAATTTATAGCTGCAATTAATGCTGGTCAATTAGTATTCGAGCAACACCTTGTTCACACATAGGTCGCAGTGCTGATCTTGGCGCCGATGCAATGCCAACCTTACGCCAGACGATTGCCGTATCGGCGCTAGCACAAAGCCGATGTATCAGCGCCAACGCCGCCTGTCTCGAATGCGAGACCTGGGCCCGTTTGCTCGAAGTGCTAACCAGGCTAAAGTAGGTCGCAGTGCCTAGGAGAGGGATTTTGAAATCACGTGACTGGCTCGGTAGGGATGCGGGGAAACATTGCGGTGCGCGGGGAAGTGAGCGCCACTCGGTTTGGAACTATTATGTCGTTGTAGCTGCAGTATCGGGCGCGTTAGGCAGCAGTGAATAGTGCAGGAGGCTTTCAATTTTCCTTACCTCACTTCAATCGCAAAGCATGAGCAATGACCTTGCCGCATTTTTTAGATAGTCTTGATTCTGGCCATTCCTAAGCCTAAATTAATGCGATAATTGTCGGCATGGCAACGTCTTTGGAAAGTGGATTGTCTTGACTCAATCGGCCGGGTATTGTAGCACACAAAAGCGGACAGCGTCCCAATAGACCTCTTTCTAAATTTCTCAAGCACCGAGGTGCATGCTACGAGTGTAGCTACACGCGTTGCACGTCCTGGCGTCTGCAGTAGTAATTCTTCTAAAGCAAAGTCTAAAACAAATTTTGTCTTGCACGCACATTCGTCAAAGCCTTATTATAGTTATTTACTTCAAATCTTTTATAAGAGGAAGGCCAGCGCGCGCGGACCGTAGAATTACACTTCCAGCGTTCTCCTCGATGCTTGGGTAATTTAATAGGTCTATTTTCACTGGAGCCGAATTACAGGTTTTTCAATTTATGATGGTGTTATATACAGTTCTTACATGCTGGGCAACCGTGCTGCTGGTGTACCACCCGCCTTTTACTGTTCACTTCTTCCTTGTCGTTTCTAGTACTGAACATCGTCAACCTCTTTGGAACTTGGAAAGAAATTTCAACGAGGCTTTTGTGTGCTATCAATAGCCGGCCGATTGAGTCAAAGCAATCCACTTTCCAAAGACGCCGTGCCGACAATTATCGCATGGGATGGCCAGAATCAGAAGACTATCTAAAAATGCAGCGAGGTCATTGCTCATGCATTGCAATTTAAGTGAGGTAAGGCAAAGCGAAAGCCTTCTGCACCATTCATTGCTGACTAACACGCCCGATATTGCAGCTACGACGACATATTAGTTCCAAAGCGAGCGGTGCTCACTCACCGGGGCACCGCCATGTTTCCCCGCATCCCTACCGAGCCCAGTCACGTGATATCAAAATCCCTCTCCTAGGTACTGCGGCTAACTTTAGCCATGGTTAGCGCTTCGAGCAAACGGGCCCAGGTGAGGACGTGTCGTGGCGCTTGGGATCACGGCAAGCCGTTCGCGTCAAGCACAAAGCTGTAAGGTCGCACAAATCAATTATTCAACTCGATTTTGCCGCCGTCGTCCCCACAGTAAATTGCTTTCGCATTTCAGGTTTCAGGTTTTATTGTGCGTAGATCAAAGGTAAATACATAAGAAATATTACAGAAGGAGGTCCCATAGTCAGAGACTGGAAAGGGACCTCCTGTTAATGGTAGCAATAATAATAAAACAAATTTACAGCAGTCAGAATAGAAAATAAATTATGACATGAATAAGTGAAACACAGAACTAATTGCAGTGATATAAAATGAACAAAATAACAGTAAGTTAAACACTCATAATAATTATAAACTTATAAATAAAATAACACTGAATAAACAGAGCAAGGTTATAACAGTTGGAATTGCAAATCAATTTTGAGAATAAGTGAAATGCAGTACTAATTACAATAATATGAGAGACAAAACGGCAATTATCAAAAAGAGAGATACACAATGACGTCATGACAGCAATGTATGACTAAAAGGACTGAAGAAATATGCGAAGTTTCTGCTTAAACACGTGAATTGATGGTGATTGCTTGATGACTAAAGGTAATGAATTCCACACAGCCGTGGCTGAGAAGTTGGTGGTAAATTTACCATAGTTAGTCCTAGGCTTAGGCAATTACAAGTTATGATGAAATGCGAATCGAGTTATCTTATGCTGTGGAAACTGATTATCGTTAAGAAGTGTTAGAGCGAGTTTGCCGTTCACGAAATTATACACAAGTAACCCGAGGGTATGTTTATTTAAATTGCTAACAGATAAAATATTAAAAGCGCGGAAAAACCAAGAAATATCAGATGAAAAGTGACTAAAGGTGATGATACGAAATGCTTGATTTTGGACGTGCTGCAATGGAGACAAATGTGTGCGATAAGTATTTCCCCACGAAGATATGCAGTAGTTAAGATGACTATGTATAAATGCGTAGTAGAGGGAAATGAGCGTATCGATGTGGAAAAAGGCGCATACTTTGATTAATGCTCTTATGCCGAATGCTGCTTTTCTAGTTAAGGAGTTAATATGCCTGTGGAATTTTACATGAGTGTCTAATTCAACCCCAAGAAATACAACGTGGCTTGCAGCCGTCAATACATTAGAGTTTAAGTGAACCGATGGAAGCCCTGGAACGATTTTGTTGGTTGATGTGAAAAATACAAAAGTAGATTTAGAAGCGTTAATGTTCAGTATATTACGCCGACACCAGTCAGCAACATTGGCAGCGTCAGCGTTAATTTTGAGAAACAATGAGTCAAGGCTGTTATCGGAAGTAAAGATGGTAGTATCGTCAGCGTATAGTAAACAGTCAGAAAAATTAATGCACTGAGGAAGGTCGTTAATATATATTAGGAACAACAGAGGTCCAAGAATGGAGCCCTGGGGGACGCCAATATTAATAGTTCTAAAGTGGGAAAGGCACCAGAAATATAGACGACCTGTTGTCTGTCCTGTAAATAGTTGCTAATTAATGCTAGTGTGGGACCAGTTATACCAATAGCGTCTAGTTTTGCAAAACGTATATTATGGTTAATTGAATCAAAAGCTTTAGAAAGGTCAATAAATAAAGCACCAGCAAATTTACCGCAGTCTATGGCTCTTTTAATATCATCACTTAAGGAAATTAGTGCCAGGTCAGTTGAAAAACCAGCCCTAAAACCAAACTGACGGGGCGACAGGACGTTAAATTTTGAGAGGTAGCATGTGAGACGTATAACAACTAGTTTTTCAATAATTTTGCTAAAGAACGAAAGAATTGCAATCGGACGATAGTTAGTTACAAGGCGCTTATCACTCTTCCTAAAAACAGGTATTAGCTTAGCTACTTTCAATACGCTAGGAAAAACGCCAGTTTTAAATACGAGATTTATAATGTAGGAAAGAACGTCACAGATTAAATGAGCTATTAGTTTAATATGAAAAGAATAAAAGTTGTCAAGACCAGCACTTGTTATTTTTAGGTTATGGATGACAGTGCGGACTTCAACAGGAGATACGGGAAAAAGAAAGAAGCTATGAGGTAAGCGCTGATAATGGTGGTCGTGAGGAATAAAAGGCTGAGGATGATCAGTGAAAAATGAGTCGCTAAAAGCGTTCGCAATGTCAGATGGGTTATTGTAGGTAACGTTGCCAAATTGAACAGAATTTATGGGGGCAGTCGTGGTCGTCCTGTTCAAAAACGAGTTTAGTATTTTCCATTGCTTTTTGACGTCGTTACCAGCACGGTGAACTTCATTCTCGTAAAACGTTCGTTTAGCATCTTTAAGCAGCCTAGCTAGTGTATTACTATAATTTCGAAAACGAATCTTTAGCGGTAAGTTAAAGGGTTGTCTTTTAGTCTTTTTATATAGGTTATCTTTTTTTCGCAGGCACCTCAGCAGACTAAATGTCATCCAAGGGCTGTAAGGAGTCGACGTATTCTTTTTACATGTGGTTATTGAAGAAGAAGCAGCCAGAGCCCTGGTAATAATGGCACAGAGCTCGTCAAAGGCAACCTCAGGATGAGTGACGTTAGTTACTGCTGACCAATCAGAGTTAGATATAAGCTCAACAAACAATGAAGTGTTCACTTTCTTCCTTGTTAGGCATACGTAGTTCTCATGGGAAACAAAATTCAATCGCACAAACACAGGGTAATGATCTGTGATAGAAACTTCGATAACGCCAGCGTCCGGAGATGTTAATAGATTAGACAGTGCGTGGTCAATTAGTGACGCCTGTCCGCTGGCAGTGCACCTAGTTGGAGTGGTTATGAGACATTCGTAACCGTTGCCATTTAGACAGTTAATGTATTCATTATAACAAGAAGTGTTAGTATCGATTAGGTTAATATTAATGTCTCCCAAGATGATGACGTTTTTGCGTTCGATTGATAGTCTATGGAGCACTTCGCTAAGCGCTAAGCAAAATTCACTAGTGGAGGATGATGGTGAGCGATAAATGCATCCAACAATAATGTTTTTTCCGTGTTGCGAAAAGAATGATTCATGGAATTCTGCCCAGACAGATTCACAGCTAGGCAGGTTAAGCGTTAGGTCATGTCGACGATGATAATGAAAACCAGAAGAGATAAATATAGCAGCCCCACCATGACTACTTCCAGCGCGATGGCAATATTCGGCTGAGTAAGAAGGAAAATCGTACAAGTTTTTATCGGACATACTCAGCCAAGTTTCGGTAAGGCAAATAATAAAGAACCGATGCCCAACAGAAGATAAAAAGTTAGTAATGTCATCGGTGTGCTTGCGCAAGCTGCGCGCGTTAAAATGAATCAGCGATCTGCAAGGTGAAGAAAAGTAATGTTCTAGTTCAGAAGGTGAGACGAGCGATGCCATTATGAAAGCTTAAGAATAATTCAGGTGAAAATCGAAAGGTCTGAATCGGACGCTATGCGATGCAGCTGTCGATCGTACAGACAGGTTGTAAGGTTTAAGGATAGAGTAAAATATATTTCATCTTCCTACAAGCAAAAGCGTTAAAGCGGCACTGACAGGGTATTTATGCTCGACGATGTTTTTAGTTGCACATGAAATATGGAAGCCCAACTACCCAGAACGAAATTTGCAGCTTGAAATCCGGCTTCTTTCTGTCCGAAAACCACCGGTCGAGAACGGGCTGGTTTGTGTCGCGCTCGCTCTCTTTTCTTTCGTGGCCACGGGCCATTTTCTAAGGTTTAGATTAGAAACAACCACCAAATTTAATCGAAATCACTGAATGCACACACTCAATATTAAAAATGGGAAAAAATATGAAACCCCATTTTTGCGGCTCCTAAAAAGCTGCAAATACGTTCATTGAAAAGAAAAAGTTGCACACAAAACCGAAAGCATTCTGTTCCTTCGCCGCATCATTCTCAACATGGCTTGAACCTCCACCTTTTCTTTGGCATCGATGGACCGAAAATAACTCGTAAAAAAATAACTATGCAGTGTCAACAAATGGAACTTTTTGGGAATAGTCAATAGATGATTACCGACGTAGATGAGGCACCTTTTAAATCGACTATCTTTTTTTTCTGGGTAGTGTACCTCCTTAAAAGGGTCACTAGGAGGTTTTCACTGGATGCCACATTGGAGGGCGATGTTTAGAGTGCACACTCGGGACGAGCTCACACTAACAGGTTGCCAAGACCGGCAATCTTCACAGTGCGGAATGCACATGGCAAAGGAACCGTAAAAGCTCGCCTTCGGCACGCGCTCCGCATGCAGTCACGGCCACCAAAAAATGCTCCCTACAGCACACTCTCCATTACGAAACCTTCAAATGGATAGAGAGGCCCCGCCCACTCACGAAGCTGACAGGGGACTGAGTGCCGTAACGCCTCCGAAGACGCTCCGCACTCCCTTGATCGACGACAGGTGCTGCTTGGCCGGGGCCTTGACCCCGGTCAGGAGGGGTTCGCAACCCAGGTCGGGGGTCGCCGGGAGGGGGCTGCAGTCCCCCTGGGGCGTCAGGAACCCTGACCGGACCACCAGAAGGGGCGCCTGCACCGCGGGTGAAGCGTCGCAGGGCAGCGGCAGCACGGACAGCTTCGACTGGCCCATCCCCTGGCTGGCCACCATCTGTCGGTCACAAATTCAGCGTCGCAGTTGGTGGGACGAATACGTCCAGAAACAACGAAAACGGTAAAACGTGGAAAAACAAGCGTCGCGTGGACCGTTCCCAAAATACACAGCGCTTCTCGTCGTCTCTTTTAACGTGCTACGGCAATCTGACGTCGGGCACGTTAAGGTAAGGGGACTCTGAACCTAGGGAAAAAATTTTTTTCTACCAGCTAGGACAGCTAGGACAGCTAGGTCAGCTAGGGAAAAACTTTTTTTGCCTAATAATTTATGTTACAATACACATTTTTCAATTTGCGAACGAAACCGAAACTGCACCCCTGCGGGATGATGAAAACAGCGTTTACAGAGATCTAGTGTGCGCTCTGAGGTCCAGCGAACTTGGAGCACGAGCTAGTTGTGTACAAACACTATCATCATCATCCCACAGAAGTAGTACAATTTCAGTTTTGCCCGCAAATCAAAAAATTTGTACTGTAACAAGAATATACTGAAAAAGATTAATTCTTTTTCAATAAAATTTTTTGGAAGACATGCCTGTCTTAACCAGGTAGAAAAAAACTCCTTTTTTTCCTACGTTTAGTGCCCTTTTAAGGTGCACTCCTAAATAGGAGCAGTTCAAGTTTGATCGGCAGTTCGCGGTTCCAAAACGCAAAAGAAAGCGGGACGATGGCAAGATGGGGGGGGGGGGGGGGGGGGGGGGGGGTATGTATCGGCTTTGCGACCTGTTCCGTCCGTTTTCTTTGCATTCTGATCTCGCGTAATGGAGAAGGAGCCACTCCCAGGACAAACGGCGAGTACGTCGGAACGGCCCCACAATCCCCTGCGCCGTGCGGTGGGATTTCCAGGAAAGCTGCATTCGCGCTCGACCTCGATAAGAGGGGAGTTAAGACAAGAGCTGAACGAGGCAAACCGTAAGCACCAACGTCCGTGGTCCCGAGAGAAAGAACGAGAAAAGGAGTGACAAGAAAAGCGGAGAAAGAAAGCAGACGACAGGTTGGGCGTGTTCGTCTTGTAGTGATGATTCGAAGTAGTTCAAGTGTTCAACAATCCCATCTATTTCCGTGCAATGCGTGACGCCGTTTTTTTTTGTTTTTTTTTTGCAAAAACGTCAGCTAGAAATACTTTGGATGGACTTTGCAAGTGACGTTTTCATGCTTCTTTGTGCACTATATCGAGCGTCGCCGGCAATACGGTCCGATTGGGGCCACCGACATCCTTGTCTACACCCCACCGTTCCAAGGCGGCCGAAATGCAAGGGACCTTTCCCCCTTCTAGACTATTATACTCACTCTACAATCAACACGGTGTAGAGTCGCTGACAAGGCGAGAAAGGCGGGGCGTCTCTTTTGAACATCCGGCCTCCGAGACACACTCACCGCCTTCCGCCGCGCTTCGCCTGCGTGTGCGTGCTCAAGGTGCACGAGACGACCAAGCGCTATTGAAAGTGGGAAGCTTACGCCGGGGCAAGACAACTGAAACACTTCCCTGCCCTCCCCACTCTGTCGGCAACTACAGCCGCGCCGTAAAATTTGGACAAAAAAATTTTGTTTCGGTTTAAAGCCGTGTACGAGGGGAACATTTCTTATCCTGCAGCAGCCATTACGAATATTTAAAGGCCGACGACCAGAGCCGAGATTCTGCAAGGCAGAACATCCTCCTCACCATGGGGGAGGAGGAGGAAACAGGTAACGGTAGACACGGTAGAAGGGGGAGAGGAGGGAGCGCGGGAAAAGTGGAAAGAGCGAACGGGTAGTCTGTCTTTAAGAAAATTTCAACGGCGCAGCTAGACCATACTGAGGTCGAGCATCAATTCTCCAACTACATTATGCCCCCAAAGACGAAAGCTTAAATAGTTAATTCAAACTTTTTATTTAACTGGCTGACTAATTAATCCATTTCACCTTTTTTTAGTGGCCACTGCAACCGGCAAATCGGCACCGGGGCTAAAACAACCCCAATGCAAGTTCCCCCATTTAAAAAAAAAAAAATCTTGACTGGACTAAAAAAAACATTCTGCACGAATTTTCTTCTCTAAACTGCCGTGTAACGTCAGATACTTTGATTCCAGACAACAAAGCACCGCAATACGGCGACGTTGTCGCCGGCAGCATGAGGTTGCCATCGGAACCAAAGACAGCACCAAGTGAAGTAAGGAAGGACTTGCCTTGATGTCTTCGGCAACGAAATCCACGTTTGTTTTGTTGACGAAGTTGACGAGGGGGTTGCTCCCTTGGCACAGGTTGAAGTTGTCTAAGGAGGAGACACTGAAGATCTCCGCGGGGTTTGGCGTGTCGCCTGCAAAGAACAACAATGTCACAACGCTCTTTCTTTTTAGGATTTTGGGCAGCAAGAATTGAGACGCACCCAAATTGACGAGCGACTCGTACGAAGACCAGAGAAAGGGATTGAGTTTAAGGCTTCTCCTGAAAAAGAGAAAAAACAAAGTCGGCAACAGCAATAGAAAGCGGGTTGAAAGCACATTTGGAAAGGCTTCAGATGAACGCGGGATTCCGCCGCAAACTGTTTTCGCATACTCAGCACCGAATGCCAAAACTGACAGTTTCTGCTTTACGGAAGACTGCTTTTAAAATTTGCCAGCAGAGCTTATCTAATGGTATTGGATTAGATCCACTGGCTTGTAGTGTCCACTGTCGTCCATCGTAAGATGAAACGGAGTATACCACCTTTGGACCTAAATCGCCACAGAGGTTCCAGGGTTAGGCTTCACTCCGTGTTGTTCAGTGTTCACATTGCAACTTTGGGCTTAAATTGCCAAACAAGTGGCACATTTAGGCTTTACTGGTGGCTCTTCGGTTCAAATGTGGCATCCTTGGCTTAAATCTGGCACTTTGGCTATTGTTTTTCTCTGGCTAGCCAGAGGAAAACCATAAAAAAGTACACTCTGGCACCAACTAAAGTCTCAAAACAAAACTGAATTAAGCACAACTTCGGTCCCCAAGATAGCCGCGCTTGTGCCAAGTTCGGCGTTTTTCCAACGCACCAACCACAAACAAAAAAAGAATTTGGGGGAGCTTTTGACGCTTTTCAAAGAGCAAGTTTCCCAGGTCCTTTTTGCGACGCACCTGAAGGCCTCGACGGCCCGCGTGCTCCGCTCCGTGCGCGAGCACAACTGGCCAACGAGCGCCAATGCGAAGGAGGCCGAGTCGCCGAACGACCCGGCCAGCTCGTCGAGGCCAGCTTTGGCCGAGGTCCGGGACGCAAGGCCCGTGTCGGCGTCCAGCGCCAGCTCAGCCTCCGAAAACTTGCGCAGGTCCAGGCAGCAGCGGGCCAGCAGGAAACGGCTCTGGGGCAAGCGGCAGCCGTGGGACCGCAGCAGGGAGTAAGCCGACACCTTGTTGCCAGCCCGGTAGTGGCACGTCGCCAGCAGGTGTAGGCTCTCATCTGTGTGCACTGCGGGGCGGAAGTTGGTCGACCGCAAACTTCAACGTGGAATATGTCTAAAAAGCGTAGCACTCTTGGCGCTATCATTTCTGCACGTGCAATGTAGCCTCGACGATGTCGTGGCTTCAGGTGACACTGTGACATCATTTGATGCGACGCGACGTTGTAACATCACGTCACAGTCGCGCAACGATGTCGCAGGACACTGCGACAACAAGCGACGCTACAGCGTTACAGAGGGGCTATGAATGCTATGCATTCTGGGCACCTCTCGAATATACCATACAAAGTGTTTATTAAATGCTGTGTTCTCTCACGGTATTGAAGTACCCTTGGTAAAGAGTCGTACCATCCAGGAAATATTATAATATGAAAGTGTTATATATTTTGTGTAAAATTATAAAAGGCATATTTTTGTATGCATTTTTTCGATACATGTATGTGTGTACAGTCAACGGCAAAAGTTTGCGGGGCACGGAAGCGTCAGCCGGAATGACTGATTGTGCCTTCCGACGGCGCGTGGCCACTCTCAAGATTCAAGCTTCAAGAATGTGCTTCCTTTTGTGCTCGAAGTCATGTCTTTTTTGCTCGCTTTTGCCCAACGTACACAAGACAACCGGGACTGGCGCAAGGTGCCGCTATGACAGCCATCATGCCGCGCGTCTGCCTCGGCCGCCGTGATGGGTGACAGAGTTCGCGTATGCTAAAGATAACATTTCGCGGCACCTTGCGCTAGTCTCTGTTATCTCGTAGTGTTGAACGAAAGCGAGCAAAAAAAAGCATGACCTCGAACAAGAAAGGGAGCGTGTGCGCAAAACGTGAGTCTTGAGAGTGGCAACGCGCCGAGAGAAGGCGCAGCCAGTTTCTTCAACTGGTGCTCCATTGCCCCGCAAACTTTTTCTCCCAACTACACATGCATGTACACGTTCCTCTTGCCAGTGCCACTGCAACCTCGTAATAGGGGGCGCTAGAACTCAGCAAAGCTGCAATCCTCCAGCTTTTTTTCATTTTTCAGTGCCCTTGTCACAAATGTATTGTTTGTGCCAAAAAATAAACTGCGAGTCAGTTTTCAGTGACGGCAAGTTGGCAAAAACGGAAAACGCAAATGTGAGACGCAAAAGGAAAACGTTGGGAATCTAAGCCACAAAGCAACTCGGGCTACGAGCGATGCTCTGCAGACTCCTCGAGGAAGACCCCGCCTAAAATCCGAACCCTATGCTTTTGCTCCGTAGGCCGAAATCATGGCGCCTCGAACGGATCTCCGATTGGTGCGATTATTGAGTCATAAAAAGGGACCCTTCGATTTCCGCCCAACGATGTCGCAAAAGCATTGTGTTTTTGCAGGCCACGATCCTGGCCGTGTCGCAGCAGCGGCGGTAGATGTGGCAGACAAATACACGGCCAAAATGGCAAACAATCTTAACTGCACTAGAATAACATGCAAGAAAACAACAGCAGAAACACACGCGGAAAAAAGAAAAGAGAAACGAAAGATACAAGGTTAGTCTTTACTCGACCTCGAAGTATATTCTTACACAGATCGGGAAAAAGTTTTATGAACTAAAGTGTGCCATTTCAGCGGGTAGGTTATTACAATCTTTGAAATTACAAGGAAAAAAAATGTAATAGTAAATGTAATAGTAGAATAAGTATTATGTGGCAATGGCTCCACAATATAGTGTTTGTGTTGGCTGCGGATACTGGAATGCGTAGAAAATTTGCATGTACTTCTTGCGATTGGTGTTGATAGTGCCGCGAATTATGTGGTAATTTTCTGTCCAAGTCGCTGCAACCTAAACTGAAGCTAAGCTGCCCACTTCAACATCAATAAGTCTATACTGTAAAAAAAACTCACCTTCCGCGTACAGCCGCTCTGCGAGGAATGTGGCATCCGCAAATGCGTAGTGATTCAGGCAGTGCCAAATGGCAGCCTGCAAGACAAGACAGCACTTCTGTCTAGTAGCTGCATAGCACGACAATGAAGCAATTGCAATCAGTGTCTGCTTGTCTCAATCATATGGATGGTCGGTTCAGCTCATACACCAGCATGACAAATCGTTTCCATGCAATGCGAAAGTATGCCTGCATGGGACATAAGAAGTCCATATGATGTTGCCATACGCTGCTGCATCGAATGACAGTGCACCAAATGATGGTTATTTGATCAAATGTGTCAACTAGTGTCCCTGTTATTATCTGCACTTTACTGAAACCTACTGGAGAAACTACAGCTTCTGCCACTGCTATGATTAGACATAAAGGGTGCTCTCTTTACTCGCATAAAATATGGTCAGAGATCATGCCGCCAAAGATAAACAGTTGACCCTGTCTGTTCATCTGCACCATGTTTTGATCAAACCAATTCTACAGGCTCGAATAAAATCACAAAGATGAACCATAATGTGAACACAATACCAGGAACATAATACACATTTTATCATGATAGCACAACGCCCTTATTTTTAAAGCAGTCTCGGTCATCGCGCACAAACAACATTCGCTAAAATGACCACCGCCACTCACTTAAACCTATAGTTTGACCAATAAAAATTGTGGGTGGAGCTTCTTTCAAGAAAATGTCTTTTTGCTAAGATGATGCCCCCCATACAAAAACATTTTGTCCAATTATTTTGAAATGCTTAGTTAGAAATGAGAGGTTGTACAACAAAATACATTGAATGTGAAGTAAGTTTTTGTAAAGCATCTCGAAAAGGTAAACATAAGTTAAAGCAACAGAAGAACAAACTAAGATGTTGTAGAGCACATGATAAAACCCACCGCAGAACAGGACAAAACATTCCACAAGGTTGCCAAACATTCCAAAACATTTCACAAGGTTATAAGACAAACCCCATTGCAAAATAGCACAAAACCCTTACAAATTCAGAACATGACATTAGGCTACGCTGCAAAATACTCGAAGTTTTTGCAAATTTCCATAATTGTAGCAGATAAGATATTTTCATGGTAATAATTACATTCATAGAGCTAAGAAGTTCTCAAGTTAATCAAAACAAAAGGGGAGCCACTTTTTTTTTTTAAACAACCTACTTTGAAAAAAATATGCCGTCATTACAGCATTAATAATCACACCATATTTGACCCTGGCTGACAAATGACATACAAGACATCAACGGTTATGTTTACGTTGCTTACGACACGACTACATTGAAGAGGAAAAACAATTTTGTTCTAACTAAAATTTAATGGAATCTTACAAGCTTTACCCTCATACAAAATTTCATACGATACGACACCCCTGCCCGCCAAGTGAGTACCATTTCCGAATCGCCTCAAGCCCTTGACGTGCTCGCACAGAAACCTCAACGAGCATTCTTATTTTTTTTTTAACACCCGACCACAAACCTTGCACGGCGTCACGCGTTACCTGGAACCTTCCGATTTGTCAGACGCCTAGCGACGAAGCTCCCACCAGGATTTATACTTGAATTTTAAATCAAAGCAAAAAAACAAAATGAACGAACCCTCCGAGCATCAACAATGCGTCTAAGCCTAGTTCATCTCTTTCTAATTAGCTCAAAAAACATTTCAGTAACGTGTCTAGGTCCGAAACAGCACCAAATTAGTGCCACCAATCAAGTTCACCACCGCAGTTTGTAAGATCAGGTGTTTTGTGTCACGAGTGTCATTCGAGAAACAACGCGAGCATGAAACGGCGAAACTCTGCAAGCTCCAAGATGGTTTTTTCGAGGCCCGGCGAAGTCAGACAAAAATTGTCTCCAAACTCGATGCGTAAAGGCGTAAATAGGCCCACAGTTGGCGTGCACTCAACAGTAGGCTATCTACGAGAGAGGAAACAGCAAAAATACATATCGTTCTTTAAACAAACAAAAAAGAAAAGAGGACCACTGTTTGGAGCGTGTAAAACGACGAGCGTTACCTGAACCGGTTCTTGCACTATCATGACTACTTCCTGGCGTAGGTCGATGACTATCCGATGCTGACACTCCAGGAAATTCCTAAATTTCGTGATACACCACGAAAAAACTAAGGTGGAAACGGCTCTTTACTTGTTAACATTAGCATAGCACTAATAGCACTAAACAAACCAGCCAACCGACACTGCGGCCATATTTCACACACAATGTTGACAGACAACCGAGTCGTTTCTAGCCGTAGTGTGCCATTTTGCCCTTTTTCACATTTTATGGCCTGGTTCCGCTTGATTCCCCCAGTTCCGCCCACATACTTCGATTTCTAGTAATGTAATAACTACTAAAACGATTAAAATCAAATTAGTTATGATTAATTTTATATCTATAGGTAAGATATTGTTATATTGCATTGTTTCTTTGCGCCGAGATCCAAATCGAAACTGAACTTCGCTTAGATGCGGGAGAATTTAAAATTTTCAAAATTTAGCGAAACTTCTATGCTTACCATACGCAGGAAGAATCGTCAGTCTTCGTCGTTAGTCCATTGTTACGCTAGAAGAGCGAAGGTCGGCGGCCGACTAATCGCGGGAGTTGTAAATGTCGCTTATCTAGGACTTATACAGGTGGACAGCGTCCCGACAGCCAAAGAACCGTCATGGCAGCAAAATACCGCCTGCTCTTGAAAAATGCGCGTCAAGTCGTGCAAGTCGTGAACAACGGCGAGAAATGCCTCAAGGGAGACTCCATGAAGAAGCTCGCAATCCTAGAAGGAACAGACAGTCATGGGTTCAGTCTGGTCGTGGATCAGTAAGTGCGGTTCATTTGTCTTCGACAAATGTCTTTGTTATTTTATTTTATGTTTGTATGGTGTTAGCACGACCTAGAGGAGGTCGTGATTGTTAAATGCGGTCAGGCATAACATACCCTGGTAGTTAAGGCTCAAAGATGAAAGAGCGTGTTGGTGAAAATACGGGAGTCAAAGAAAGAATAAAAACACTTAAGGACAATGACAGACAGCACAGTTAAAGAACTGTGCTGTCTGTCCTTGTCCTTAAGTGTTTTTATTCTTTCTTTGACTCCCGTAGTTAAGGCTCTGGACAGATAGTTCGAGATGAACCATCGTGAAATGCAAGCCATTCGATCTGTTGGGGAAGTATGTTTTTCTGATACGACAAAACGTTTATTAGATAACAGAAAAGTCCAGCAGCTTTTATGGCACCTGACCTTGAACTTAACCTTCGTCGAAGCTGAAAGGCATATACGGTTACGCGGCCTTATAAATGCGTAATATTAAATTATCAGCGAAAAAGTATTGAGAAATAATAGGCAACAAAATGTAATTCATAATGCGCGCTTTTTTTAATTTTTTTTTTCTGGTTTATCGCTTGTTTGAAAAAAAAAAAAAAAAAACTGAACGTGCATGCGAGCTGTAGTAATTATTATAATGTAACACCCGAGGCTCTGGTGCGGGACAAATTAAGAAACTTTAAAGTCGAAGGAAAAGACACGTGTCGAAGATCGCTCCCCTGAGAGATGCCAGGAACCAAAATAAATACCGCGGTTCATGGGCGTGCTACCTCGCGAAGCGTTCCTTTTAAATTTACCATTACAATTTACAAAAGCTGGCAGAGTTGTTTTTCCTGGCCTGCGTTTATAGACCTTGTACCCGACTACCGGCAAGAATAGTTACTCATCTGCAGTGCACGTGCTGGCGTCTGCAGCAGTTGCGATTCTGAAGCAAAAACCTAAAATAAATTGCACTTTGCAGGTGTGGGTCTTTTATATCTTATTTTATTTATTTTACTTCAAATATTTAGACAGATAACGAGAGCTAGAGTGCCTTCATACACACGCGCGCTTACGAGAGCGTACGTGCAGCGCCAGTGCGCTCCCTGCAGATCTTTCACCGAATTGCCCAAGTAACAAAGAGAATGGTGGCCCGCACACGCTGCACGAGCTCGCTTTGCAGGCGTATAATATTAAAAGTAAATAACTAAATAACCCCAGTCTCAGGTTAATAGGGAGTATTCACTGGCGGCCATAGCTGTGTGCGCGAATGCTGAGCGCGTGCTGGTGGCGAGCTTCCACAGTTCTTCTGCAACGTGCATTCCGCACGATCAAGAGTGCCGGCCTTAGCAGCCTATTGATGTGAGCTCGTTCTGAGCATGCGCTCTGAACAGCACCTACACATATGGCGTCCAGTGAATACTCCCTATAGGGAGTATTCACTGGCGGCCATATCCGTGTGCGCTGCTGCTGAGCGCGTGCTGATGGCGAGCTTCCGCAGTCCTTTTGGAGCGTGCACTTAACACCATGAAGCTTGCCGGTCTTAGCAGGCTATTAATGTGAGCTCGTTTTGAGCATGCGCTCTGAACAGCACCCACACATATGACGTCCAGTGAATACTCCCTGTAGACCTATCTCAGAGCCAGTTTCTTTACGACATCGCTGCCACCATGCATCTCGGGATCTGTAGTCTTTCTGTGCACGCGCAACGACCCTGCTGAAAGTCACGCGAGAGCAGCTCGTGCACTTACGCCTGCCTCCCCAAAACTGCAGTTATGGCGGCGTCACGCATGAGTGGAAAGCTTATACTCTGTTTCATACTTAGTGCGCAACGCTGTCAAAGCTACTGGCGCGAGCGTGGGGCTTGATCTCGTTGCTCATTTGCACGCGTTCTCGCGCAAACAAAACCATAGATGAAGCCACGAGCTCGCGCCAGTAGCTTTGACAGCGTTGCACGCTAAGTATGAAACAGAGTATAGTGATATTGGTCTACGACATGGTTAATATCCACCAGCTCGCCCGCACCCTTGCTATATATTCTAAAATAAGGCGTTGGCAAACGCACGTGTGCTTTTTTCATTTTTTTTCTTTTTTTTTTTTTTACAAGAGCGTTGTAGACGTTATCGCGTGTAGCTACACTCGTAGCATGCCCCTGTATGCTTGGGTATTTTAGCATGCTGCGAAAGGTGACTTTTTTACTGGGTAGTGTAAGTACCTACGTGCGCAGCTGAAACCATCACGCGTGTCGTATCGCCTCTGGTGCCGTACGCGATCAAGAGACAAAGAAACAGCAAAAATAAAAGTAAAAAACGCCTACCTAGCGCAGGTTAAAGCTACCAAGAGAGTGAGAGAGGAGAAAGAGAAAACATTTTTAATACACCAAGTCCGGAGCTACCGGTCACTAAGAGCACAAGCCGGAAAACATCGTTTCATAAATTAAAAAAAAAAAAAAAAGACGTCGCGTTGTTATTACCGGTTTGAAGCCAACAGGTGGTCTGACGTAGTTTATTTGCCGTCACGAATCACCACCCAGAAACACTTGCTCCGTCTCACCTTACGACGGACTGCAGCGGACGCTACGAGCAATCCAAGCCAATCCACCGCTGTGAGCCCGTCACGTATCTACGCGCGGGGCGCGTTGCTGCGCACCCTCTCGAGGGTCACGTGACACTCCCGCTGATTTGGATTGGCTTCGTTGGCTCGCAGCGTCTTCTCCAGTCCATCATAAGGTGAAACAGTGCATATGCACCCTGGGCTGCTGTAGCCTTTCGAAAAGGCATGGGCGCACACTTGATTGATAGATAAAGTGGCTACGGCTGAACCCTGTATCACGGTTAATTTAACCCTAAAGTTGGGCAGAAAGAGAACAGTTCTTTCTTTTTTTTCTTCTTTTATACAGTGATAGAAAGAGAAACAGAGACAGACAACGCCTCTATTAAAAAAAATATATATATATATATATATATACACACACACACACACATATATATATATATATATACACACACACACACACACATATATATATATATATATATATATATATATATATATATATATATATATATATATATGTATACGGCCGGAGTCCGGCCTATACATATATATATATATATATATATATATATATACGGCCGGAGTCCGGCCTTCCTGACGAAGGCCGGACTCCGGCCGAAACGTCGAAGATTAAATCGTCCGTTGTTGCTGTTTTTCACTAAGGGTTTTTTTCTTCTCAGTTTTATATATATATATATATATATATATATATATATATATATATATATATATATATATATATATATATATATATATATATATATATATATATATATATATATATATATATTAACGCAGCGGGGATTTAAGCCTGCTTCGAGTACGATAAATAAAAGTACAGCTCGCCTGAGCGCAGGCTGCATTTTCGTTGGAGCCTTTTTTTTTTTTTTTTTTTTTTTATTTCAGACATTGGAATTGCATTTCTTCGCAACTTGGCGACGCACCAGGTTGCGCGAATTCTTTAGATTGACCAAGGCCTTAATTGTAAATGACGTTGCCACATGCCCCATAAAACCAATCATTAAAAAAAAGGGTAATTAATAGATTTCAGTTACTTATAGCCAAAAAACCGGGATAATTATCCTTATTTAATGTCCGTCGAGCCTGATCAAATCATCGCTCAGTCGGCACCCGTGTAACTCTCACCCATTTTTCTAAATCTTCTCGCATTAAAATGAAATATCTATGCATTAAACTCTACACAAAACAAGAAGAGGAGCGAAGATGGCAGAAGAACGTGAAGAGGGAGCCTCTGGTAAACCTCAAAACAGCGTGCCGACGTTTCACTAGGAGACTAGCTGCTTCGACAAAGTCTTCGTTCTTCTGGGGCATTTACACTCACAAGAGATTCGCTCCGTCCAAAACTCCAACATCAGTATTTTTTATTCAGCCCGCAATAAGCAAAGCGCACACAAAAAAACTATGGAAAGGCGTCATCGCTGACGTCATTCTCATATATCAGGGGTGGCTTTCCGTTTCCGACCCCCTTTCCGACTCCCTCGCCTCCCTCCCGGTCACACGAACACTTCCCCAAAAGGAGAAATGGGAGGCAGGTTGTGCTTTGGTAGCCTTGTGCTACTGCTACCGTAAGTACACTTGGACTGCTTTAGACTTGGATAGACTGAACAAAAACTCCCCCCCCCCCCCCCCTTCCCGCGGCTCTTGGAAGTTTCGTGCTTTTGTTTGCGGCTCATATGCCGCGTCAGCCTGGCCACCCCTATTTATATACAGAGTGCTTGATTTTATTTAAAATGTTATTTTTATTTTATTTTTTTTTACATATGATGTGAGAGTCACACTAGTTCTGTTTCGACCACATATTTTTCAAGCTCGGCAGATATTAGATTTTTATTTTTATTTATTTATCGATACTACTAATCCTCATAGGAGGATTTTTGTAGGGTGGTACAAAAAACACAGATGCATAACCATAGTGCAGAAAAAACAGTTATACAGAGGATAAAAAGTATATGAAACAAACGGAGTGGATGAGACATAGTATGTTCACATCATGAGCGCTTCGACATCATCCATGAACTGTTTCAGCGAGCTAGCGTGAACAACGTGTCGGGGCAAACTGTTCCATTCCTGGACTGCTAGCGGAAAAAATGAAAAATTAAAGCAATTATTTTTAGGTTGGAACTCCCTGAATAATTTCCCATGGTTTGAACGGGTTTCTCTTCCATCGTGGGGAATAAGGTATTTAGACTTTTCTATTTTAGTCAAGTTATTGGCTATTTGGTAAATTAATTTTAATCTCGTGAGCTTAGCTCTTATTTCTAAGGGCTGCACGCCGAGCACTCTACACAGCTCAGTTGGTGAATCTCGCGTGCCAAACTTATTAGTAATACACCTTACAGCGAGCCTTTGCACTTTGTCTAATTTTTGTATGTTAGTTTTTGTGAAGGGGAACCAAACAGGGCTGGCATATTCAAGCACAGTCCGAATAAGTGTCGTGTAGGCCA